GATGGGATCGACTCAGGGCGTTTTGACCCTTTGTACGTTTTCACAAGGCGTGTGCCGTCCCAATGATAACCATCCGGGATTGGTGTTCCAGTTGGAGTGTACTTGATATCAGGAAAAACTGGTTCCTCAGCCGGCCTTTCATCACTGGCGAGTGCGTCAAGCACTGCCTCCGTTGACTTGTCAATTGCTTCTTCACTTGCTTCTGCATGTTCCTCTGTTTGCAGTTCGGATTGAAACGGAATTGGACGAGGATCAGCAATGACATTGTCAGCAAGACGGTCCGGCTTAGGCTCTTTGGCCTCTTTCAATGCACGGAGTGGGAAGACAAAACCTCCCGCGATGAGCTCAACACGTCGTGCTCGCTGCACTGTGATGCTGCCCGTTTCTGCATGGTAATCCAATGCTTCTAACTTGGCAACAAGATACTCACCTTTCCATGCAAAGCCAGGTTGAATGTGGTATCCCAAAAAGATTCCATCATTTGCTGTTGGTGATGTCTTTCCAGATGTGTTGTCAACCCTTTTTGGATTGTTCCAAAACAGTATCTTTGCACCGAAAGGAATCAACTGACCTGGAAAATCTTCTTCGAATCTGAGTTTCCATGGGGCATCATCACCGTTGAGCTGTGGCGTGGCATTCACTGCCATGGAGAAATGCTGCATAGCCATCGGCCAATACTGCAATGGAAGACCTGACTGCACGAGGTTTGTGCGTGTGCCTTCAAGCATGTGCCTGATCTCCCTCTCCACAAACGACTTTGAACTGTCCACATACTCTGTTGATGTTTGATGTCTGTACCCCAACTCTGAAATTGTAGCAATAAGTTCTCGTGAATTGTCAGTGTAAACTGCCCCAACTTCATCCTTGTGAGATAAGAAGTGGTTGAAAGCATTGACACATGACTCACTCGATTTTGTCTGACTTGGATAGACGTGTCTGAACTGAGTGTGAATGTCCTTCATCACCAATGCCACTGTTTCACCTTTGACGCCTTCTTCCACATTGGATTTGATTACAGTATGGTCAGCGACGATGTGATCCCCAAAACTTTTGGTTTCCAACCTCTTCTGTCCCCCTTTCTTCTTTGCGGGTGGCGCCATCATGCGCGCCTTCTGACAGATTTTGCAAAATGGATTCTTGGGGTAATGGCAAAACTGGTGAGACTTGCTGCATGCCTCTTGCTCAAGGTCAGATGCCTTTCTAGACCTGACGTACTCGGTTTCGCTATCATGAGCTACTCCCTCATCCACGCCTTCTTCATCGGCACCTTCTGCTTTTGCAGCAACCATTGCAAAGAGACGTAACAGATCACAATCTTTCTTGAACTGTCCACTGTTCAAAACACGACAAGAGCTATCGATGACCGGCACACGGCCGTCTACGTTAAGCTCAATGACTCCCATGTCCGGACGAATGAAGTAAGGCCTACCATCAGCTGGCCACACAAAACTGTAACCCTGTTCCATACACCTGACACCAACCGAAAGAACAGCAGGAGTTTCTTCGAGGATGTATGGTGAGAATGGCTGATGTAGGGCATCGACTTTTACGTCGGCCACCTCATCCGCTCGTGTCGAACCGTTCGCTGTAGCAAGGCTGATTGGGGTATCGCTGACACGGCGGTTTGTCGCCTTTGCGGTCTTCAGCATACCCTCACTAATCAAATCCTGTTCACTGCCCGTGTCAACCAACCAAACACATCCATCTTTTGATGCCGGTGTAGCAACAGTGGGCAAATGAGTGTTACTGACCTTGTTCTTGGGACCAATCATTGCTCTACAGTGGTTGCATGATACTCCCCCTTCTGGGTCATTGCATCGGAATCGGCATTTGGGCTGCGTCTCACTGCCGAAGAGCTTCACAAGTTCCTGCAACTGTCGGGCCGAAACCTGAGCACGGTGAGCCACGAGTTTGTCGGGTTTTGGCACTGACTCTGAATCAGGGAACGTCTTCTCATAGATTCGGGGTTTGTGCACTACCTTCCTCTGTTCACCTGTTGCTGGGACTTTGATGTATTCCACTTTTGATGAAAACACAATAGCTCTATGGCATTGTTCTTTCATGGCCTTTGTAGCTTTCGGCAACCCTTTTCCCTTTGCTATGCATGCATACCTTTGAGTAATGCATGGCGCAGCTTTTGCACTGGCCTTCTTCTTTGGTGCAGGGCTATTGGTGCGTTTTGGATCCTTTGTGGGTGCAGCTGCAACTTCATGTTTGTAAAAACACTTGTCACCACGACGACATTTGCCCTGTTGAAAGTAAGTGCATGGGATCTTGGCCATCTCTTCCTTCGACTTTCTGTTGGGGGAACCACTTCTGCTACCACCTTTGCCCTTACCCTTCTTTTTGGGGGTACCAGATCTTGAGGAATCTTTGACATGCTTGTAGGGACAGTCTTTACCCTTTTCGCACTTGCCATCCCTGAACTTGTAGCATATTTTATCCCCTTTTCCACTCTGGCTACGACCACGGGTTCGACCTCTGTCGCCCTTTCCTTTGCCGCGGTCTTTGCCCCCCTGAGCGGGTGCAGCGGGCTGAGGCTTTTCGGTCTGCTTGTTCTTTTCAACGATTCTGTTTCTGTTTGAACGGAGTCTTTCTCTATCCAAAAGATCACGAATGTTTCTCAACAAGAATGCATAAGACTTTTGTTCTGACTTTTCAGGAGCTCTGTCAAATGCTTCAATGTCATACTTCATCAATTGACATTTTCGGATTTGTCTGAGTAAGATGTCTCTGAGAACCAAATCATCTGGCGGGGTTTCCATGCCGGCAATTGTGGCGTCCCATCGGTTCAAAAACCTTCTAAGGTCCTCCACAGATTCTCCAGTGCGAACGACTCCAAGTAGGTCCTCGACGCGGTAGAGACTGCCAGCTTCCTCAGACGTCCTGAAGTAATCTTCAAACATCAAAAGGACTCTCCTACCTCTGACTTGGATCCCTTTCTTTGACTTCTCATCTTTGAAGTTATGGATCTTTGTTGCTAAATCACCTTTGGCCGAGCGAGTTAACGCTGCCGACAATTTGGTGTCAAGTGTGATAAACTTCCCAGGTTCCTGCAGCTTTTCCTCCAACTTTTCCCTAGGGGTTTTATTGTCAAAGACTTCATTGAGCCAAAGCCAAGCCTCATCGGGTTTGTCGGAGCACGACTTCACTTCATCCCTGACATGATTACGCCAGTGACGATATGCTTCTGGGGCAGGCATGTCGTTCAGTTTGATAGTCTCTGCCTCTTTTGTTCGGGGCTTTTCACCATCTGAATCCTTTGAAGTCAGTCTAGCGATGAGATCTAGCAATTGATGACCTGAAAGACCTAAGCCTGCTTCAGCTGCTTTCTTGCCAGGGTCGCTTGCTATTACTGTAGGACTGGGCACACTATGTTCTTGATTTGCATCATCATCATTTTGTCTTTGAACTGGCAATGGTGGAAGTTTTGGAGGGGCTGCTGATCCGGCAGGGGTAGTTGAGAACAAGTTGCTCAACCTTTCCTTAGCGTCCATGGCTAAGCTACTCATACCAGTGTTTGGCATGGGTTCTGCTCCAGCCTTGGTACCGACCGCTGATTTTGGGGTCATGTACAAATCGACATTGTTCCCGCCTTGTGTATCATCAACTTCGACGGCTCTGTCGACATTGATTTCCGGAACGCTGTACTTGTTGAGCTTCTCCATCAAATCCTCCACTTGTCCCTGCAATTGGAAGTTGAGTTCAGCAGCTTGGTTTTCCTGCCTACTGCATTCCTCTCTGATTTCCTGGATTACAGCTTGTTCCTCCTTCTTGAAACCTTCCATGCCATTCTTTGCATACTCTACTGTTTCATCCACGATTCGTTTACAGTCTGCCTCGAGGCTACCTCTGAGTTCAGAAAACCTTTGTTCGTACTGGGCTGTAACGTGGGCTACCTTTTGGTTGGCTCTTTGTTCAGCTTCCAGTGCAACTGCATTTGCAGCATTTTTCAGCTTTGCGTTTGCATCGCTAAGTTCCTGTCTCAGTTTTGCTACCTCATGCTCAGTTGCCGTTTGGGACATTGAATACTCTGACACTAGGTGCTCATGTCTGCGGTCAGCTTCTGCACGTTGATGGGCGATTTCGCTAAGGCAAATTCCCTCAAACTCTTGGTACAGTTGCTGGACTTTTTGTTCCATGAGATGTGTGTGCCTCTCCTCTGCCTCTTGCCTGAAAGCGTCAATGTTACCTTCGTTGATGTAGGTAAGATTGTTTTGCACGAACTGAAAATATGCCTGGACGGGCTGTGTGAAGAAACCTTCATCTACCGACATGGGCGTGGGAGTTGCCCCAGCCGTCACAGGCTGAGATCCAGTTGATGCAGTCGCCATTGTTCCTGAAGCAGGTACGAGAGCGCCACCACCTGTAGCGTCATGTGACTTGTCCATGGCTTTAGAGACTACGGCTGATAACCTGTATTTTCAGGTTTCAGCAGGGGTTATAGTTATAATCCCAAATAGACTGATAAACCTAGAATCCGCTAAGCATCTGCGACCGCAGCACCTTTTACTGAGCCGCAACAGCTGTAATGCATGCTATAATACATGGGTTTTATGGTGGAGTGCAATTACACAAATGCAACAATCTGAGACACATATCCCACACTGGAGCACTGCGAGGACTCTTTTTGCCACGATGGACAGGTGCCCTCGTGTTCTATCGCTATTGTCGCTATTGTGTGTTCGATTTCGGACTTCAGGACTTCTCAGGTCATCCTCAGCACAGTCCGGATATGGATGGGGCATCGCAACTGGATTTCCGGATCTATGGATCTGAAAGCCAAGCTTCGAGTCCTCGCCTTAGGCCTTTGTGCATCCGCTCAAACCATATTCCTTCGCAACCTGTCAAGATCTGTCAAGATCTGTCAAGATCTGTCAAGAATTGCACTGCGCCAACCGCAGGTTGACAACCCAGGGGGCCAGGCCATCTGCATGAAGCATCATGAAGCTACATTTTAACATTTTGATATGGGTTGATATGGGTTGATGGAACTGCTCTCAGCCCAAACACAAACGATTCTCACGCGCCTGTGCTGTGGCTCCAGCGCAAACACTCACCTTCGCCGTTCCTGTCAGCAAACATCAGCAATCCAAAATGCGGGAAAGACATCGAAAGACACCACAAAACGATTTAAATCAACAACTATGAAACGAAATTGGCGAGAAGGGGGATGCAAACACAAGACCCAGAGAAAAAACTGGTATGATCAGTGGGTCTTTGAAGGTCTGTAGTAGTCACTAGAGCAGTTTGTGAATACGATAAGATACGACAAGCATATCAGCTGGTTGGCTTGCTTTGCCGAATTTGTGATTGCGGTATAGGTATATCTGGATATATTGTCATCGTCTTGCTGAAATGGGCCTGACCATCCAGGTGCACAAGCCGCAGTGGCTTTGAAGACGTCCATTCGAAGGTCTGTTTCTGTGATCACATAGCCCTCTGTCACCTGCCACAATCTGACATGAAGTCTGTTTTGGACGCACAATCTTGTCTCAACAATCTCTTTGCAGCTCAGGCACGCTTGGTGAAAGGCAGAAAGCCTCCACACGTTCGCAACCGGAAAGCTGGTACTCGCCTTGCACTGACTTCAAAATCTGAGGGCAACACACCTGGAGAAGGGCTAAAAATGCTCGTACAATTAAACATAATACATTAATCTACATTATAATTATTATATGTACTGTACCATTGAACTTTATATACAGATTTAGTATGATTTACTTAGATCTGAATCTATATTTAGTATATATATATAGAGTATATTTGTGTTGAAACATGTTTAAACAATGCATCGGTACAGAATAGCAAAGAAAGAACTTGTTGCAGTAAAGCAGCTTTGGTGACCAGTACAAGCTGTGACCGCAGCAGTGCCGCCGTAGCCGGTCGCACAAGCCACCTTGACCTACAAGGGGAAGTTAGAATCAGAACCATTATGGCATAATAATGTATGGAAAGTTATGGAAGATGTTGGCAAAATGTTGCAAATCCTTCACAGCCAATGCCAAGATATGCCAAGGCTACCAAGTGAAGGCGTTGATTTCACACCTGGAAGTTGGGCTGACGGAGCTCCATCTCAGACACGCTGTATCCTGTACAAAGGTCCATCATTGAACACATGCATTCCTACTTCATTCCTGTCCTGTGTAAGTCGACATACAAGCAAGTACCTACAACAGGAATATCATGGAATATCATGGAATATCATGGAATCCTCATAATTTTCAAGGAATCGCAGAAAATCGCAGAATGCTTCTGTGATTTCTGTGCCGGTGCCATGCGGTGCCTACGGTGGATGGCGGTGCTTTGCAAACGTTCACTGAGCATCCGCTGAGGCTGTACTCACTGGTTGTCTCACTGCATTTGGCAACCTGCATTGATCATGGAGGTATATGGAGGTCGTGGATATGACATCAACTCCATGGAAACACGAGCTTTGCATGTTGTTCCATGGATTTCCATGGGTGCTGTAGGGGCTCAAACCTCAAACTCTATGGTTTCTAATTCGTAGATTCTCTCTGCAAAACATGTAAAATCATGTAAAATCTATGAGCCTGAGGTAGTCCATGGTACCCAAAGCTGCAGGTTGCTGTTGCTTTGAAGTTCTGCATCACAAGGCTGGTCTCCTTCACATCATAGCCTGCACACAGACAACTCTAGGAATTTATGAGGCAATTTAGTCCTTCGATGTCCTTCGAAACCAAACAGAAAACATGACGACAGTTGCAGAACGCACACGTTCCGCGCCTGAGATGCTTGGCTTCTTGCAGTAGATCTTCTTGTCGCAGCCCGTGAGTTTGTAGTGAATGTCATCCTCTGTGCAGTCCACAACTGCGGCATTGCCAATATACCTGCAGGAGAAGAAATGAGATCTGTTAGAATGTATTAGAATGTATTAACCGTATTATATAGCTCTCAATTGAAGAGTGGAGTAGAAGCCTGTGACTATATCTTGTACCAAACAACCTGGCTGTGACATACTCCAATACTTCCTTCATCTTCCTTCCTACTTGGAAGAATAAAACTCTGATTGCCGGTCCACTTTCTGGCTGTCAATCTGCTTCTGGTTGTCAAAGAACTTCTTGGAAACGTCAGATAGGAAGATGGTTCTCAAGATCCATCAAAGTGGATTGTGTACATTATCATCATGCAAATGGTGTCAACACTTGCCAGCATAATATAACATCGATCTCAAACATGTGCGCGGAACGTAAAACGTTTTCTGGGATGTTCACTTGGAACACTGATTCGTGCTCAGTCACAGCCACCGGTGTGCCATTCAAACACGTCGCACTCGCAATTGCAGCCAATATTTCATGAGTTGATCTCCAAGACAGCGCAAACATGTAGTATGTGAAAGTCGTTTAATGTCGTTTAATCATGTTTAATCTGGTTGAATTTGAAATAACGTTTACATGTAGCTGGCACCTTTCCCTACACCATTTGCCGCAAAGCTACTCACTTGAGCATGCGGCTTCGACCTTGAACTGTTCCTGCAAGAGGTCATGCTCTGACACGTCATAGCCTTGCCGCAGCAGGCTTGAGCAGAATCATGTCTAAAATCGGGGTGCACAGTTTGATGATCAAGTTGAAGTCCTGCCCCTTCTGATGAATAGAAATGACTTTGGCCAAATTACCCACAGAAGCACACAAGTTTGCAGGATTTTGCAGGACTGCAATGAAGACCCACTATCGCTTCCCATGGATCACGATCAAACAATGGGTTCTCAGTGTCTCAGGCCTGTGGTGTCTACTGGGGCCAGGCATATCAACTTTGGTACAGTGACGGTAGTGGTCGTGCTTGTTGTGGTTGTGGTACTGGTCGTTGTAGTTGTGCTGGTGCTAGTAGTGGAGGTGCTGGTTGTAGTTGTTGAAGTTGTTGTCGTGGTGGTAGTGGTGGTGCTCGTGGTGGTGATGGTGGTGGATGTGGTAGTCGATGTGGTTGTGGTAGTAGTAGTCGTTGTGGTGCTTGTTGTTGTGATTGTTGTGGTGGTGGAAGTTGTCGTTGTGGTAGTGGTGGTCGTAGATGTCGTGGTGATAGTGGTGGTTGTAGTTGTGGTGGTGGAAGTAGTGGTTATGGTCGTTGTAGTGGTCGTTGTTGTGGTGGTACTGGTAGAGGTCGTTGTGGTGGTAGTAGTGGTTGTCGTGGTCGTTGAAGTTGTGGTTGTTGTTGTGGTAGTCGTGGTAGAGGTCGTGGTGGTAGTTGTTGCGACGCAGCCAGTCTTGGATGAGGCAAGTGTTCGATGAACACGCATCAAAGTCTGCTGAAGTCTGCAAGAACATGCAAGAACCAGAAGAGAGCATAAGGCTACAGCAAACACAGTGCAGCAAACAAAAATAAAAAAATGGTCCCCTATATAATGCGAAATATCCCTAATATGAACCCCCAAAGGGAACCCATCCATACAAATCCAATAGCGAACCAGGGTTTCGAAGGGGGTATATTATAATATATTATAATATTAGGGGGAATGACAAGAAAAGCATTGAAGAATGTGCAGTGAATGTGCTAACTTAACCAGGCATCCATCGTGTATGGTTGGTTTGGCCCACTGCAAACTGCTGCAGATGGAGTCCCTTCATAGCCCCATGCACACTCAGCAGTGACTTCGAAGTTGTGCCTAAGAACAATGTACACAACGTGGGATTCCCATGATTCCCATGGTGCATCAGGAAGACCATCTGACATGTCTCAATGATCTCAATGTGGGTCCCTTTACGTTGCAACCACAGCTGCACAGCCAAAGATTTTTCTGCGAACTTGGCATATTCCTTCAATCCGCTAGGGCGAACGCCTTGGCCAATGCAAAACATATTGCCCAAAACGTTGCAATATCAATAGATCTATATAGATCTCAAAGGATTTTCACTGGCAATCCAAAAAACGAGAGCTGTGGTGGTCCACATGCACAGCAGACAAGTAGTAGCACGTAAGGGCCGTGCACATGTCTGGCATGCAGCCAGAAACTGCATAGTGCAGGCCGTCTTCCTCACACTCTGTGACCTTTCAGCTGGTTTCAAGAACCCGTCATCTGCAAGCATCTTCAGGCCTACATTTCTAGGTCTCATGACAGTCTGGCATGCCGCATATTTGCATGCTGCATGTTGCGGCCATTCTCGCACAATCCAATAGGCACAGAATGGATTGGCCTATTTCGGAAGTCTTCGATTCTCTTTATCGAAGGAGAGTGTTGCAAATGCAAGTAAAAAGTAAAACAAGCAGAATTTGACGAGAAAGAGGACAGCGACAGAATTCAATGAAGACAAGGAAAAAGACAACTCCTGGGCCAGTATGATAGTCAGTGAATGTCAGTGATAGATACACACTATGTGGAAAAATGTAGCAGCAACAAGCCAGTAGAAATACATGACATCTGCACCACGAATGCAACAGCCAGATTCCGCCTTTGGTGAACCGCGGAAGTGAGGCGCACCTGACGGCGGCCCACATCCCGCAACATATCTCAACATATTAAATAAATCTAAATATTGCATACATAGATATGCATAGGTATGCATAGGTATGCATAGGTATGCATAGGTGTGCATAGGTATGCATAGGTGTGCATAGGTATGCATAGACATGCATAGATATGCATATATATATATGTGCAAACTAACCTTCTCTCCAAACAGCTGCAACCCCCGCAGCTGTAATGTAACACATCGATGAAAAAGATTGAAAAAGAGCGTGAAAAACCTCAAGTCACGCTTTGCGGCTGAGATGCATGTTGCCGTGACATCCCAACGATGCGTATCCTTGGCGTGAGGTTCTCAAAGATTTCTGACGAGATTTCCTGTGCCCAAAAGGGAATAACTTCCCAAACACCAATGTAGGGAACTCAGAAAACTGCGCAAAAAAGGGACAAGTTTCCAATGATGTCTCCTTCAGGTGGTAGCCAGTAGTATCAGCAGGAGTCTTGCACGTGACCACTTTGGTCTTAGCCAGGCATCTTCTGATTGCAATTGCAACTTGAAACGAAAAACAAAGCTGATTTCCCATTATGTTTCACTATTTTCACTGCATTTAGCAATATGTCTTCATGATGGAACTGAGAGCCATACACATCCAGTCAAAGAGTACAGCATATCCGGGGTGCCGCAAACAAAGACGTGCGCATGACCATAGTGACGTGGCCCACACGTTGCCCTCACGTTGAACTTGCTCCATTCCAAGTCAACCTCTGTGACTGTGTATGCCACACCAGCATCTGGCGGGGCCAAACACACACCATCCACGGTGGTGGTGGTCGTGGTAGTGGTTGTGGATGTTGTGGTAGTTGTTTGCTCACAACCATCCTTGGGAGTTCTAACTTCGAGGCTGCGAAAACTGCTCCCATGAGTCTCCACCCACCGTCATTTTGCCTCTACCCTTCGCTTTGCCACTCTATATTTGAATCTCGTCCAGGAAGAAAATGACAACATGAAAGCGTTGCATTTTGAATGACTTTATGTGACTTCTGGAACTGGTCATCTTAGGACTTACAAAATGGATATTCTTTGTATGGGAGACTGGGTGATAATTGGATATGATATTTGGATGTAAGTCTGCACCAATCGCACTCATAGTTCGTTCACCAAGTGTCCAGAGTGTATGGCTTTCCATGTCCACTGCATTTCACCACTTTTGGATCGCCAATGTATCCGTAGGAACACTCTGCAGTCACACCGAACCTAGGTTCAAACTTTCGGCTGTAGAAGTAGGAGATCCAACGCACTACTTTCTGAGACTATGTAAAAAGAATGTACCTGCCCGGCAGACTTCGGCTGCGAATGAAACAACAATTTTATGTCACAATCCTCACGATCGTTCATCTTGAAAGTCTATGAAAGTCTTGCATCTCCTCACGTTTCCTGGAGAACTTTGGACACTCCATAAATCACATTACATCACCATGCCCGCATCTCTTTACATCTCTTTGGGGCCTCTCTGTATCTCGTGATCAGTGCATGCCATGCTGCTTGTGGAGCTCCAAAGAGGCTGTAGTGAGAGTGTAGCCAATGGTGTCTTCAGGCTCCAAGCATGTGTCTGGTGCACATCCAGAGATGCCTTGACAAAAGATGGCAACAGCTCCCGAAAAGTGTTTCATGCCGTTCTTCAGTGTTTCTCGACTGCACTTGCAACTTAATGCAATTAAATTCTGGTGAAATCTGTTGAAATCTTAGGTCACCATGAAGTCAGTTTTGAGCTGTGCCACCATATGGCGAGCCGTTCTTGTCACACTCCTCCACTTTGGCGGCGCCATGGAACAATGGTGCGCACTGCGCTCTGACGTCCCAATTGTGAAGCTCCTAGGACAACGAGCTGAGCTATGACAGCTATGACAGCTATGAGATCAGCAAGATCTAACCAGATCTAAGCCTGTACTCATCGTGGCATGAAGCAAAAATACAAGTTGCAACAACGACAGGGTCGCCGTCCATTCCACCAGGCTTTAAAAATCTTGAAATGCAACAGTGAAAGTATGTGAAAGTCATTGAAAGTCAACGTACAACATATCGGTCGGAAAGTAATAAATTCATTTTATCATATTTGATCAACTCATTGGCAAGCACATTGGCAAGCATGTCCACTTGCAAAACGAGCTGCTGTACCGGTCTCAGTGATGATGTAGCTCACTGTGCTGGCAGGAGTCACACAGTTGATGTATGGTGCCTGAAGCTTTGGAACAGATTGGAACAGGTGTGTCACTTTTAGTGCAAAAAAAACATAAAAAAACAAGGCCAAAACCAACTGGTCACATCATTTGATGAGATGGACAACTTCGTTCCCTGCTCCATAGCTAAGGGATGTGCGCAGCCAGACAGGATGTAGGGGGAATCCTTGGCATTGCAAACCTCCACTTTCGCGTGGCCCACGTACATGTGGGAACACTTGACCTGGACGTTGAAGGAAGACCACTCCAAGTGAGTCTCAGTGATGTCATAGCCGAGAGAGTTCTTGGGTGCAACGCAAATGCCGTCGATAGTCGTTGTAGTGGTAGTTGTGGATGTGGTGGTTGTAGTAGTGGTAGTGGTTGTCGTTGTGATGGTGGAGGTTGTCGTGGTTGTGGTGGAAGTGGTGGTGGTTGTAGTAGTGATTGTCGAAGTTGTTGTTGTGGTTGTTGTTGTCGTTGTGGACGTGGTAGTTGTGGTTGTGACGGTGGATGTTGTGGTAGTTGTTGTCGTGGTTGTGAAAGTGCTGGTTGTAGTTGTGGTGGATGTGGATGTGGTGGTGGTACTGGTAAACGTCGATGTGGTTGTGATGGTCGTCGTCGAGGTGGTGGTGGTGGTTGTCGTCGTGGTACTAGTAGTTGTAGTGGTTGTAGTCGTTGTCGTGGTCGTGGAGGTAATTGTTGTTGTGCTGGTGGTTGTGGTAGTGCTCGTGATTGTGGTGGTCGTTGTAGATGTGGTAGTTGTTGTCGAAGTGGTGGTGGAAGTGATTGTCGTGGTAGTTGTGCTTGTTGTGGTGATAGTGGTGGTGGTGCTTGTGAATGTTGAGGTTGTGGTTGTGGTTGTGGTTGTGGTCGACGTCGTCGTGCTGGTTGTGGTGGTGGTCGTCGTTGTTGTGGATGTTGTTGTGGTCGAAGTGGTGGTTGTAGTTGTGGTAGTTGTAATTGTGGATGTAGTTGTGATTGTGGTTGTGGTGGTAGTCGTGGTGGTGGTTGTAGTGGTGGTGGAAGTGCTGGTAGTTGTGGTTGTGGTTGTTGTTGACGTCACTGTCGTGGTGGTTGTAATTGTTGTGGTGCTCGTTGTCGTAGTGGTGGTAGTGGACGTAGTCGTGATTGTTGTTGTGGTTGTGGTCGTTGTGCTTGTGGTTGTTGAAGTTGATGTACTTGTTGTAGTTGTTGTTGTCGTTGTCGTTGTTGTGGTAGTAGTAGAAGTGGTGGTTGTGGTAGTTGTGCTTGTGCTGGTGCTTGTAGTAGTGGTAGTTGTCGTGGTTGTTGTCGTCGACGTCGTCGTGGTAGTCGACGTCGTCGTGACTGTGGTTGAAGTGGTTGTGGAAGTTGTGGTAGTTGTCGTCGTTGTCACCTGGGAGGGCACACAAATGAGGGCACGTGAGCCATGCATGCAGTCAACAAAAGAGAATAAAAGAGACTCAGCAGGCCCGCTCCTCAGCTCTCTTAGATCAAAGTTTGCATAGCCGGGGCACGGTGGTTGTACTCGTAGTAGTTGTACTTGTTGTAGTGGTTGTAGTTGTGCTGGTGGTTGTTGCGCAGCCAAAGATAGTGTAAGGCTCGCCCATTTTGGTGCATGGTTCTGCCCCAGGGTCTCCAAAGAATCCTTATGCTCTGCAGCTGAGTTTCGTGCAGATTGTTTCAATTTGGTGGAACCCAAAGCAAACAGCTCCGTCCACCATCTTTTACTTATAGATCTTATATCCGGAGCATGTCGCTTTGTTTTCCTTTTCCAAACCCTTAATGCGCCTTAGGATTGCCAAGGCACCATTTGCCTCATCACAAAGAATGTCAGCTTTGAAGTGCGCACGTTCCAGGGCGATGGACTTTACCACGTAACCTGTTGTGATGGTGTCGTTGCATATCTCTGGGATACATCCGGACCTCAACTGCAAAAGTTTGTCCTGCTGATCAAATGCTTGCAAAGTGAACATGTATGTGGCCTCACACCGTCTAAGCTCCCAGGCAGGTTGTAAGGTTTGTCGTGATCCGTACAAACGGTGGCAACAGCGACGCCTGTTCGACATTCAAAAATATTCAAAAATATTCAAAACACAAACACTGTCAGAGTCCATCGCCAAATCGCTGTGCCATGCCGTGCCTCTGTACATCCCAGCACAAGCAGTCATCACATTGAAATTCGACCTGAACAAACTCAGCTCTGTGACCTGAGCGGCAGTGCTGTCACTGTGCAACACTTGGGATGAGGTGAGTCACACCATGCAATGCCAAATTCTTCTCTGCTTCACTCGAATCAGATTCACAATGATTATTAATGATTATTAATGATTCACAGCATCAATGCAAACTGGAGGCATGGTAGCCACGGACGTCTGCTGGTCTCAAGCAGTCCTTAGGCAAAGATACTTGGTGTCGACACGGAATCAGCCAGACGAGGATTTCCAACATGCTTGTAGATGCTTGGAAGGGGTGGTACAGTTTGCAATGGCTCTACACACCAGAAGTGAGGTGCAAACCCCTGCATAGATGTCCTCACAATCAGAGGTCAACTGGAAACATTGATGAGCATACACCTTACTTGTATGTCCTTTCTGCACGCATCTCGTTCCGAACAGAATTGCTAGAAAGCAAGTGTTGTGAACACTGAACTAGTTTGTAGTTTTTCGCATTTCCAACAAACTTTGACATTTGAAGCCTTTAACCTTCTTCTTCTTTCATACTCTCAATTTCATCGCTTTCTGACTTGAAGGCATGGATAGTTTCCCATTGTTTCACATTGTTTCACATTGTTTCACATTTCGTTGCCAGTCCTTTGCTGCAGCTGGTAGCTCTGACCCAGCAATGCCTTTCACCATCTTTGAATTCAGATCGCCATTGATGTTTACAGCCTCGGCAAGTGCACCATGGTGCATCCATGTGCCAATGTCGACTGACACAATGTGACGCATGCCAATCTCAATTCCCGAGCTCCCAACCACCTTCATCCAAGCAAGATGACCAGGTTTGCCAAGCATGGTGGTTGAGAGCCAATTGGTCACTTGTCGTCCTTTCTCCTCTTCGCTGTTCTTTCCTGCGAGAACCAAAGTCTGAGCACAGCAAGCTAAAGGCAGAAAATCAGCAAACCACAGCAGGCAGAAAAACAAGTTAGAATGATTCAAACAAAGGAAATGCATGGAAATGCAGATGTCGACTCGAGCTGTTCCAACATTTGCAAACTGTTTTGCAACAAAAGAAACTGGGGGCGGTGTTTCTCCGCTCCTTCAGAAGCCAAAGCAGAGTAGACTTCCAATGTGAATTCCACTTCTCCATTCAGCTTCTCCAGAGGAAAGCCGATCCTTCGTTGGATGCATAGTGCCCTCGAAGTTGCTGTTGCCAACACCAGCTTGCGGAAACACGCTATGTATATATATACATACATATTATATATATTATAATATCATAATATATTATATATATGTATATATATATACTATATTATTACATAAATGATTAAAATGATTAATATTGTGTCCGATGTTTTAAAATATAACGACTGATATATATATATATATATACGTCGTATAATTATATGCATACATATTGTGCATATATATAGATATATTCACATACATCATACATCTATCAATCATAGAGAGAGAGAGAGAGAGACGCTCCGAAAGATCCTTACACCATCTTACACCCACCCTTCGGCTGGTTTCAGGCCAGGTTTCCTGATGTCGTACGCGTGGCTCTTGTTCACAATCCAACCTTGACACTTTCGACATCAAACGGCTGGACAGTCTTGTATGAGTTTGTACTGTGTTTAATCTTGGCACCATGAAATGTGCCGCGAATGTGATAGCTGATAGTAGTGCCACTAGTGCCACTATGTGAAACTAAAATTCTGGGCCTAGATAGGTCACATCCACTGGATCCGCGCCCTGAGACTTGGGCTGAAGTTGCTCCCAGGTTCTGGATGGGAGTTGCAGGCCTTCTTCACATCTTCGCCCTGTGCCCGATGTCTCGTTTGTCTCGTTTATGTTTATTTGTTTCTTCATTTCGTATGCGGCGCAACATCAACAACTAAAAACATCAAAATGTATCAAAATGTCCGAATAAGATGGTCACGGATGTGATGGTGAATCCAAATCACAAAATCTTCCCTTAAAAAAATGAAACAAATGACGCAGCGTGTCCACCGTAAACAGGGAGTGAGTCTTCTTGGTCTAGAGACATAACATGTCCTGTCATGTCCGGTCGGTAGAAACTTGTATTCCAACAAGCCTTGTACTCCGGCTCGTCCAAGGTTGAGCAAGTGAGCGGCACAGTGCAGCTAATGCCTTAAGAATTGCTCCGCTAGAAAGATGCACATCTTGTACAGCATTTCAATTCACCCACCTTGTCCACACCCTGTTCTTTACATGGCTGGTTTTTTTGAACACACCCATCGCAACATGCTGAATCCCTGAGGAGCCAGCAAACACCCTTGGAATTCAAGAGCCTGAGAGCACCAATCTCGCCTATCTTCGTGTCAGGGTTCGCGAAGCTGTCCTTGCATGCTTGCATGGTTGAACTGCATACCCAACGCAAGAATTAGCAATCTTTACCAACCTTTGTAAATTCATGTAATTTCTTCCGCAACCCAAACCGACCGCCTCAGTTAAGTTAGCTGTTGAAAATTGAAAATCATGGAACATCTGTGAAAAATCGCAAGCTTGCGATGGTTGCATCAAGGATCCGCTTTCAGCTTGACAGTGAGGTTCCCCAAGGAACCCTGTGCCGAGTAGGACAGGCCATGTCGAAGATTCCCGAACCTTTGCTGGATCGCTTTCGTCACAGATGAGTTCACACCAACCTGAACCAATGTTTCCACATTTCCTACCTACGAATCTTCCAAAGAACATTAGGTTCATGTCGTCTCAAGTCTGCTGTTCATCTGCTGTTTTTTGGCATTCCGCTTTGATTCCTTTCACGGTTGCATGCTTGACCTCTACCACCTCTACCACATCTACCAGCTCTACCAGCTCTACCCATGCTCCAGGCAACTTGTTGCCAAAGACAATGCCCAAGTGCAGCAAGCTCAGGATCGCTACATTCGAAAACTTCATACCTGGAATGAACGGGACAGCAACATGGAACTTCGAAACGGACAGCAGATCACTGCTCAAGGCAAGTTTAGGCGTTTAGGCTAAACTGCTGCAAGTGTAGGCTCACTGGCTGAGGTGGTCTCCCTCCCAAGTTTCACACTTTGGGCCAGGAGACTTCGGTATGACATGGTATGACACACTCAATGATTACTCATTGCGGGACTGCTGAACATGCTTCTGATGTGTGGAGAGACACCCAAGCTTTCTGCATAGCAACACTCCCCAGAGAAAGTGCCATACCTTCAAAACCAATCACATTCTTCAGCCGCATGATTGTGACAGAATGATACAGAAGGCACGTTGAGAACTGTGAGCATCTTTTGCGCAGGGTTCACCGCTTGCAGCTACCTTGCGGCTACCTTGCGTTTCTAGAGCTATCTGCAGCTGTTGTAGCCGCTCATTCCGGAACACAGCCACTCAAACCTAAGCGCTCACGGGCACAAGGTCTCCGGCATAAAGCTCGAAGTGCTCTGGGAACAGAATAATCAACTCAGGCTTCACTAACATATGAGCAATTGGAGAAAGAGTGATACTAATCTCAATGTTGCTGTCCGAAGACCATTGAGGGCAGAACTGTAAAGTTTACCGGGCTGCAATGTAGAAGTGGTAGTGGTGGTTGTAGTTGTAGTGAAGGTTGATGTGGTAGTAGTAGTACTGATCGTGGTTTGGGTTGTAGTTGTCGTTGTGGTGCTAGATGGTGCTAGTAGTAGTGGTTGATGTGGTGGTTGTAGTAGTGGTTGTGCTGGTGGTGGTTGTACTCGTAGTTGTAGATGTAGTAGTCGTGGTGGTCGTGACTGTTGTAGTACTGGTAGTAGTTGTAGTTTGCACGCAACCACTGAGTTCGTATTCACCTGTGTGAGCCTTGCAAGCTGTTGCCTTTGGCTCTCCCACATAACCCGGAGCACAGGCTGTCTCCACGCTGAACCGAAAGGCTTCTGTTGCATCTTCTGTGACGGCATAGCCAGTAGTATCCGCTGGGGAAGAACATGTGTCTGCTTCGCACCCGGAAATCTGGAACCTTGGGTTCAAAATGTTCAAATCACCGGAATTCATGCAATCATCAGGTGATTGAATTCGCCGATCGCACATGGCTCACTAATGGTAGACACGCCTTCAATGTTGCACTCATGCAATGATTAGCAATGTCATTGTGGTTGTGTGTTGCAACTCTGCTACGAAGGGTTGCATTGGGAGACCATGCTGCCATTTGCGGGTAAAAACATGGAAAGACTATGAAAAACTATAACTCCATATCATATTGTCATTTACATATCATATACAGATAACTGTATAATTTATACAGACCCTTGCAGTATATGACTCCGAGATAGGGCTGGAAGGCAGCCGAGCGACTCCTCGCCATCCTTGGTGCATGGCGTAATCTTGGCAGTGCCGTGGAAATACGCTGCGCAAATGCCGGTGATGCTCCAGTCGTGCAAGTTCAGACTCCCATTGCTCCTGAGCAAATGCAAACAAAACAAACGAAGATAAACAAAGCAAAGTTCTAGGGAGGAATCCACTGGCAAGTCTGTCAGTGCAACCAGACATGAAATGATCTCAAATCCTGCCGAATTCAGTTAGATCGAAAAACGTGAAACATATGCTCCAAAATGTGAAAACCATGAAAACACATGGTCTATGACTGCGACATTCTTGATGTCTTTTGGTTTCAATTTTGGTCGAGCTTCAGCGTGTAGCCCAAAGCCTGTGGCTTCTCACAGGTTTGGATCTTGTTGCAACCGCTGATCTTGTACTGTGCGCCAGCAGACTCGCACATCTCAGTGGCTTTAAAGGTTCAACCAGGGACGCAATACATCCCAATAGGTCTCATAGTCCATAATGCTATCATAATACGTCATAATACTACTAGTATGCAGTGTCAGTGCATGCAGTCCATCTCAAGCCTGCTCCAACACACTATCGACTGTTGGATGACAAATCGCTCTGATCATCTCTGATCGCTAGAACTCCTAGAATCCACAGGATCCACAGGATCCACTGTCCAGACCGCGGATTTCCCAACTAAGACTTGGACAGTCACTTTTGCAGTGCCATAGTAGCCATCTGCACACGATGCTTTCACAGAGAAAACGGCCTCCTGCAAAGATCTGGGTGTCAAGACCCAGGTATTCCGGGGAAAAAAATCGCAAAAGAGACTAGATTGGAATGTTCTCCCATCAAACTTAGATCGTCTTATATCCATTTTCTATCATTTTCTGGCAGCCTCTTTTTGATTCGTCTCCAGCTGAACAGAACGGTCCCAATTAGTTCCCAAGAAGGTCTGCAAGGTGGCTGTGTCCAACATTGCATCCAAGGTGCATTCAGCTCCAGACTAGCGACAGTCACGTCGTAGCCAGTCTTGTCTTCTGCTTCCACGCAAAACAAGACAACTGTTGTCGTGGACGTGGTGGTGCTTGTTGTAGTAGAGGTTGTTGTTGTGGTTGTGATGGTGGTTGTGGAGGTTATAGTCGATGTGCTAGTTGTAGTTGTGGTGCTAGTTGCAGTCGTTGTGGTTGATGTAACCGTTGTGGTTGATGTCGTACTCGTAGTGGTCGTGGTAGTGCTGGTAGTGGTCGTTGTGAAAGTTGTGGTAGTGGTCGTGCTCGTGGTCGTGCTGGTAGTTGAGGTTGTTGTTGTGGTGCTGGTAGAAGTTGTGGTTGTCTCTGTGGTGGTTGTGGTGGTAGTTACTGTAGTTGTGGTTGTGGAGGTGGTAGTTGTTGTCGTCGTGGTAGTTGACGTGGTAGTGGCTGTGGGCTCACATCCTGTGACAGAAAAAGGGAGGTTGTCACCTCCGCACTTGGTAACTACGGCAGTTCCAGCGTAGCCAGACATACCTCGGTGTCACAGCTTGATTCGAGCGTCCAATCCACAACTCAAACCACTTCAAACATCTTCAAACCCATGAAATCACCTGAAGCTCTGATATATTCTGATATCTTCAATATATTCTAATATATTCTAATATATTCTAATATTCTCTAATACTGTCACGTCCACCGTCAAGTCTTCGTGCCAGCTTTGAGGCTCCAAGGCCACACACAAGAAACAAAGAGCTCTATGGGATCAGCAGAGCTGCAGCTCACTTCGACATCGAAGGAGGCAATCGACAAGTCCCGCGCTGACCTCAGCTCATAAGCACAACACCTGAGATCCACACCTGGTCCATTGACAATCTGGATCTCACCTGACATCTAGCTGAGTGAAGATCCGTGTTGTCACTGAGAAGCCGGCACCTCATAGCCTGCCTGTGTTTCGGGCGAAGTGCACTTTGCCAAACGGCAACCCGACAACCTGGGACAAATAAACCGCGGACATCTGAACGAAATGGTCGAGCACATTGATTCCGCGTTTTTAAATGCTGAGCAATAACATGTTTATGCCAGCGGGGTGAAAACCGGACCCTATTTTTATCTATTTTTACATATTTCTACTGTTTTTTGTTGATGCACTTGCGAACCATGTTGATGTTGTGGGGTGTATTAACCTTCATGTAGACTCTAATCAGAAACGACTGCGTTGATGTCAGGCACTGACAGTTAGCAACATATTACGTGATGGCTTTTGTGTTGGCATAGATGTAATGTGATACGTCATGGGACTTGGGGTGGGGTGGGATGGGGGGTGGGGGCGTATTAACCTTCATGTAGACTCTAAGCAGAAACGAATGCGTTTGTGGAAACGATGTTAGATGTTACGTTATGGGATACGGCTGTAGTTAGGACAGATGTTACATGTTGCGTTAAGTTTTTTGTGTTGACCGAGTAAAGATGCTTCATGCTACGTTAAGTTGTTTGTGTTGACCGAGTAAAGATGTTACATGTTACGTCATGGCATATGGCTGGAGTTAGGACAGATGCGCAGCAGTGGCAATGGCAGTGGGCCCAGAAGAAACACTTGTTTCAGGCTACTGATCGACAGTTGCACAAAGAAGCCTTCGGATGAAAACGCTCCGGAAAAAAAACATTGATAAGCAAAGCATGCATATATCAAAACGAAATGGCCCAAAACCCAGGTTTTAGACACTTGGAGAAAGGAATTTGATCAAATTCCTTGCAGATATGAAGTTGCAATTCGCATGACCCTGCCAATACGAAATACACATTCGACTGTAAATTAAGGTCCGAATAACCCCCCGGACGGTTGTTTTTGGTGCCCAGACATCAAACACGTATACGTCTGTGTCAAAATAAAGCTAAAAACAAAATTAGATGAAGCGAAGTTGAATTGCGTCAAGTACGTCACATAGTGTCACAGCTGCTATGTGCCCCTTGCTGGCCCATGTTTGTGACGCGTGGCGTATACGGATCTTTGTCCTCATCACACTCAGTCACTTGAGCAGTTCCCACATAGTCCTGGGGTCAGGATGCGTGGCGGATATTGCTGTCAGGTGAGCACCAAACCACAAGAAACGTACGCTAGATACAAAATGATACAAATTGATATAAATCATAGAGCAGCATGCTACATGCACCATCATGATTATCATGCATTTACACTTCATAAGAAACAGATTAGTCTGCAGCCGAGTAGCTTTGGCGCACTTGGCACTAACGTGGAACCTGTGCCTCACCAGGTTGTTCTCCGTTACATCGTATCCATTGGTGGCAGCTGGTGACGTGCAAACCTGAGCTAGAGAAACGACCAGGATGACTTGCAGGCCATGGTGCTAGTAAAGTAGATTGAAATCAACTAACACCGATCTTCAGAAGCACTAGTGTCTTGCAGATGCAAACCAGAACGTGGAGAAAACGTTCTATGTCGAGTATCGGGGGACATGTAAAAATCAAATACTGTCCAATAGAATCAAATGACTGCCTTCTCACACCTCCAAACTCCCTGAATGAAAACAACCAAAAGATGTTCCAAAGTGTGTATCAACATGCGGATCTTCTGTTGAAGCAAGCGGCTTCATCGAATATGTCCTGATTCCATAAGCGGCCAAGACCAGACCAGAGAGAAATTCGTGCATGCAGCAAAGCAAACAAAGACTCAGAAGACTCTTTCAGTTTACTTGTGGCACTTTTCAGACTCAAAATCGAAATGGGAATCACCTGAAATGTATCGAGGAACTTGATATAAATCGACATATCTGACATATCTGAGACCTCAATACACCTCAGGCATACCTGGACTATACTATACCGACCTCCGCAGTCTTTGGTATCTCCATCATGAGGTCGCCCTTGACCACCTTGCTGAAGTGGCCGTTCACATTCAAGGCCTTATCGGCTCATGCCACGCCACGACGCGACCCATGGTGACCCATGGCTGGTGACGGATGGCTGAGATCACCACCGATTTCAACCAGGCACGATGAGTCGAGGTCCCAAGCATTGCCACAGCGACCCAGGATGTGACTTGGCGACCCATCTGAACTGGCGAATTTTTACCTGCACAAAATGATGCAAATTGTATCCAACCCTGTTCATACATCATATCATGTATATTGTACACGTACACATTGAGATGTATTGATATTTACTATATCATATTGTTCACACTTGAACTTCTCTACACTGGGCGCTAAGTACTCTCTTGTGGTCTCGCCGTAGATGCTCGCCTGATTGATCCACTGCAGAGATGACCTCAATCTGAAAGTTCATCTCGTGATGAAGACTTTTCAGCCTGGCAACAGTTTGGACAGGTGATGTCCCATGTGATGTAGCACTTGTGTTTCAAATGTATGCACATATACATCATTGTGCAATATTGGATCATCTATGTCTCAAGGTGGGCAAAGCTGTATTATACACCTTGGTCACTCTTGTTTTATCGATGCCAAAGAATACCAAAGCAGTACCGGTAAAATCTGGCAAACATCAGCATGATGAAATTATATACATTATAATACATTATATATATATATACATAATTATATATATATATTTTATACATTAAACCGTCTCGTCCAAGGGGCGGGTACTCGAGCTTGATATCCCATGGGCTACTCTTGTTGACTCGCCAACCTCAAATGATTGCTCTCTCTCTCTCTCTGCCAAATCTTTGCTACGAGAATATCTGATACGTTTGTACACATCACTCTCACCTGCTTGTTTATGCAGCACTTAAATTAAGAACACTTCCCGTAGCTGTGTGTTAGTGTCACATGACTTGCTCCAACGCTTCATCTCCATGAAGAGCAAGCAGGATAAGGAAGACAACTAGACTTTGGTGATGAAGAGTTCTGCTGCAGTCCAACTGCCAATTAATTGTGATCTTCAATGTCGTCATCGTCATCATCATCATCATCATCATCACCACCTATTACATCATCACCACTACCGCCAGCACCAGCACCATCATCCTCATCATCCTCATCATCCTCATCATCCTCATCATCCTCATCATCCTCATCATCCTCATCATCCTCATCATCCACTATCATAATCATCATGGCTCAGAATCATAATGGTCATTAAACGTATAATGTCATCAGTGTCATGAATTTAATGATGGTCATGAAAGGACGAATGACGAATCGCCCTGTTTCTGAGGCTATTGCTCCACTTGTCACCAGCTTCAGGCTTGGTATTGCAAGCGAGTTGGGCATCGGCAACCTGCACAATTCTGGCGAACAAAACAGCGAGGATCTGTTCCCACGACAAGGCAATAATATGACGTGCAGTAAAGCGAGATGAAACACATATAAACTCTGAAGCACCTTGTAGTTGGGGGTATTTGGAGCTGAGCACACCTTGTTCCGACACAGCTGTGTCTGAAATTCAATTTCACATCACATTGACTGATTATTTTTTGTGTAGTGTATCCTTGATCTATGTATGTGTGTGTGTTTGTATCGTAAAAAGATGTAAAAAGCGGGGAGTCGCTGATATGATCCAATGATATCCCACATTGTGGATAGACGGCTGTTTGGGCAAAGTATGAAACAATAGCCACCGCATATGATTGTGCATGTGCCACCGGGTGTCAGCTCCTGCATCTTCACAGTTGATGCATGCCCCTTTGTGGTCAAGCAATTTGATGCCACCCAATTCTCCAAAGATGGTCGATTGATTCACAAAGTTCTCCTTGGTCGGCTTGGTCCCTCATGTCTCTGATGTGTTCAGTCGATGGGAAAAGCATGTTGTTGCACGTCCTTGCATCTCTGCACAGGCTGCCTACTCTTGACCCCCATTGGACTTACAACACTAAATCCAAATGGGAAATCCCCCTCTCTCAAGTATGATAATTAGAAGTGAACCTGACTCTTTATTATCCCAAAACCTGACTCTTTATTATCCCAAAACCTGATCTCCTATTGCTCTTCCACAAAACGCTGAGGTGCTGCTGAGTTTCTGCTTTCAATTTCACTACAAGTGTTCCTGTTGGAGACCGAAAAGCCATCATTTTCGCAGCATAAACCTTGGAAATGACATGTTCGAGTAGCACTCAGATCTCAGAAGACTCTCTTACAACATTTTGAGGTTGCCGCATCGACCCCACCCCTACTGAGGACTTGACAGGCTGCAGGGCCAGGAACGCCCATAAAACCTGATGTGTCCAGAATTGGTTGTTTACTTCCGGAAAGCAGTTTTCAAGTAGGATTGCGGCACATAACATAATTTTTGACATTTGTTGCGACTACAGTCACTTGACGAGTCAATGTGTCACTTTGAAGTTTATGGCTATCAAACGCAATCAAACGCAAACAATATTTCCCTTCTGTGGCCAAGCGACTGCATTGAATCTCATGGTGCCTGAGCAAGTGGATGTCATGCCACGTCTCGATGAGTGTATGCTGGGCAGCAAATGACAGGATGCAAAGCATGTTGACATGAATTGAAATGAATATGTGAATAACACAATTATGTTAAAGAAATTTAAAGAATGCTCGATGTGGGTTCCTGAACATTAAAGTGCTTCACTGGTGATGCACGCACTGCTGTCTTTTCTCTCCACCAGCTATTCAAGTCCTTGGCACGCTCTCGGAAGCAAGATGGGTGTATGCATTGGACAAATGATAGCCATAACTGTGAAAGGGGCAGCAAGCAAAGTGGCAGCACAGCACAGAGCAAAAGCTGCACCCACAGGAGGCCACTGGAAACCCCAATGATACCCAAGAAACCCCAACGCTATACCAACTGGAGTGCTGTAGAGAGCGAAGATGCTGCAACCGCGATCAAGTCAATCAAATCTGGAGCTTGCAAGCCTTGCGCCAGTGTCCATGCATCCAGCAAGCCATCTCTAGAAAGACCGTCGGCTGGATTTGCTTCCGATTCGATGTGCTCGAAAAACACTCTACATCTCAGACGGGCAAACATCAGATGTGTTAAGGACGCAATGAAATTCAAGTCAAACGAAGTACTACTACCCTTAATCAGAGGTTCACAAGCAGCCTGGTTGTCAATGTACCACAGAACATCTCTGCCAGCCATGACATGCGGCAAGGTATGGGGAACTATGACACCTAGGATTGCTTCGCAGGGTGTAATCTGTTGATGACGCTGATTGAAAAGGTCCAGCACATGCTTGGGCAACTCAGCCGCCATGCCAATAGAGGCATGGGCAGCGCTAGTATCGAAAGCCACGAAGCCAATGCCGGCCAACATGTCAGTATCTGGTTCATAGGATGCGTCGGAATAAATCCGGCTGGGCGGCTGCCGGGCACCAAAAGTTCGAACCTGGCGAGGCAACACGTGTTCAGCAAGAAGCGAATGAAACAATAGGGCTACTTGCAGTGGCACTGTCAAATCAACTCTGCAGTCGAAATATTGACGTTGCACATACGTTGCACAAGAGGCGCTTGGCCGCCCCTACCGCATCTACCATAGTCCCTGAAGCGGCCCAACCAAATTTGCCTCTGCATTTTGCTGCTGTCCAGATGTCAAGATACCAGTTTCAAAAACAGAATCAGTTTCTACTTGCACGGATTCCCTAAATCCAGGCTTCAAGTCAAACTCAAGGAGGCCTGCAAGTGACGCAAGGGCCAGGTTCGCTGAAAGACCTAGAAATACACGACATCCAGCGGGTGCTTGTGATTTGCCCGGATCTAACGCAGCACCAGCCATGCTGTAAATGTCGCGAAGTATCGCCTGTGCAAAACCGTGGCCTGCCACCAAATCAACTACACCAGAGTCGTCAAAAAAGTTAGCAGCTGCACACCCGGTCATGTGTCAAGCTACTGCAGTCAACAACGCAGGAGTACGGTTGAAATTCAGGACCGCAGAAGACAATCCGAATGGCAAACCGGTGAGAACAATAAACTGAATCTGTTCACTGGCTCCATCCCAGAAAGCCACAACAGCACAACATCCCTGATCAGGCGCTATATGCCCTGCACAAAATGCTGGAAGCCATTGCGACCGCTGATGCTCTTCATTTAGTGTGAATGCTCCTGAGCCCGCATGATTGGCCTGCAAAATTTTATTGCCCGAGGATGGGCAATGTGGACTGGCTTGAGTTCTGGGAGTCCGCAAAGACGGAACGTGGGGATTGCTTCTTCTTTGCAAGATAATCTACCCCATAAACAGATGAAATAACGGAAGCTGTACAATTGCAATATACGCATGCTTGAAATATATTCGTGACATGGTATATTGCAAAACCAGGGAACCATCCGATCCAACAGGGCACTGCCGATAGGCGTTCTTCATGTCCTCAATTCCAAGTACGAAGTCGCACCACTCAGGCAGTTGAAGCACATCAGGCGCATCACTACGGACTATGGCAGGCAACACATCAGTGAATCAATGCTAGTGGTATAAATAGTTTCGCTTTCCCTGCAAGCAAGATTGTGTCCTGGGAGTTTCCCGGAGTCAATACTGGTCTAACTCTCGCGCAGAAAGAACTCCTTCTGCAAACCCGTCAGCCACTTCTTGGCGGGTCATGGCTGCCAAGTCAGCATCATATGAACCAGGTCGCAGGCGGCGCTGCATGTCTTGAAAATTGCCAAGGGCAGATTCGCCCAACAAAGCTTCCTTACCACACATCCGGTCTAGACTTGGGACTTAGGGGCGAAACAAACCAGTATGCTCAATGTCACCCACAACTTGAAAGCCTGTTGTGAAACGAATGGCATTGGTTTCATCGGGCCAACGCAACAGCAGGGAACAAGCAAGCATAAACATAGGCTTCTTACTGGCAGCAACTTTTCGCACTGTAGGTGGCATCAGCGTCACACAAAGCAAATCCCAAGGATGCAGTGCCTTGGCAAGTTTCTGCAAAGTTGGCCCTTGCGCCATGTACGCGCCCAGGGGCCAAAAGCTACAAAAATCCAGCAGCAAAAAGTCCAAGTCAAAATCAAGGGGGCTATCCTGATCAAAGGGGAAGCTACTTTAGCAGATTCAGCAACGTGCTCCAATTTACTCAAACCGAGCGGATGAAGTGGAGGCAAGGCATGCTTTGATAAAGTGCCACCTCTTTGAATTCCTGCAGCTACAGCTGAGCTACAAACCTCTTTCTGCTGGATCCAATCAGGCCCTTGGACGGTGGCATGTGGTGCAGTTGGGCGTGGACCCAAAAAATTTGGAGGTCAACCAGGGGCACTTGGGCAAGTGCAAGTGCCAGCTGTCTCTGCGACCTCGGAACTTGGACCTCTTCCAAATCGCATCTGCGCAGCATGCGTCTAGCCAAGTCGTTTGCATCAAGAAGTCTGGAAAAGCCTGGCAAAAGTTTGGCTCGAAAACTGTGCCACGAACCGCATCCCGCAATTTCTTTTCAACAAAAGGATACCAAGGCGCAGAAACGTAAGGATGGCACTGGCATGTGCAAACTGACTGCAGAAGAACGCGCAACACGAGAGCAAGACTGGGTATGTGAAAAGAATCTGCAACGGCCCAACTCAGGAGCTCGTCCTCTCTGTACAAGTCTGATCCTGCAGCTGCAAGAACGGAAGCTGGAATACAAAAACATCTGCGCATGTTCGTTTGTCGTTGGGTGCCTCTGGGACTTTTTAAAGCAAGGCAATGCTACTATTCTCTTGGAGGTCGAAAGGAGCAAAAAATTCTGCAGAGCTTCGGCTATACCCATCCGCAAAAAAGAGGCGACGTGAACATGGCTTACCAATGAACTTTGGCACTAGGGAATCTTCACTCTGAGACACAACATCATCATCTATACTAGCTTGCAAGACTGCTTGCTGCAACGATACATCACCAGGCCACATCCTCCAGAAACCCGACCTAGCTACATAACCGAAATCGGAAGCTTGAGTTTGGAAAGGGCCCACAAGCACAAGCAACTCTTGCGAAAGCTCATGCGCAAATTTGAATTGGCAAAGCTGCGCTGGGATCAACTGCCAGGCTCATGTTGCAACAAACAACGAATTGCACGTGACATGTGGTCTGGCATACATGCCAAACCCCCCCCTCGGATCTACCTGTGCCTTTGGCAACGGCGAGCATCTCACTTTGCACAGCCGCTTCGTCTGCCCACACTAGGGAAGGAATTTGCAGCTGTTTGCACCGCAGTTTCTCGCAAAGCCTGTCGTAAAGGATTTGCGGATCATCGATGAAACACCCATCCTCCCGACGCACAAAGATTGAAAAGGCGCGCCGTCGGCTGACGCATCCAAACCCTGTGTCAGAGGGCTGCGTATGTATCACCTGCAAGGCGAGGCAGCATGATTTTTCATCATTTTAAGCTTGTGTATACAGGTCTCAAGTCATGTGGTAAATCAGCGTCGCATTTATTAGTTGGAGCGTGCCGCAAATTCAAAACACATCGGGGACGGAGAAGAGAGCGAGAGAAAGAGAGAGAGAGAGAGCTTGGCTGCGGTCCTTGACCAGATGCGCAACACCTCGAGGCAGGCGAAACCAGGAAAGGTCATGGTCGCTGGCCAAACTGCTCGAACTCGATGCTGTGTCAGATGATAAGGAAAAGCCATCCCAATCAGAACCACATCCCTTGTCAGCCTCTGATGCAAGCTGTGCCTTGCTGGGACCTGCCTTTGTACAAGCATTGTGTGACACCAGCTCTTGCAGAACGCGCGCCCATGTCCATCCATCAGATCGCACTTTCTGCAAGGATGCATCACTGCCATGAAGTCGAATAGACGCCACGACAACGCCAGGCAATAGGGACTTTGTGCGCGCAGCTGTCAAAATTACTTTACTTCGTGTGATCCCCACCATGACATTTATACATTTTCTTACTGGCAAATCTTCTGGCATTCTATCTGACATATCTTCTGACATTCTATTTGACATTCTATCTGGCATATCTTCTGGCATATGATCTGGCATATGATCTGGCATATCTTCTGGCATTCTATCTGGCAAATCTTCTGGCATTCTATCTGGCATATCTTCTGGCATTCTATCTGACATATCTTCTGGCATTCTATCTGGCATATCTTCTTGCATATATTCTGACATATCTTCTGGCATTCTATCTGACATATCTTCTGGCATATATTCTGACATATCTTCTGGCATATCTTCTGGCATATCTTCTGGCATATCTTCTGGCATATCTTCTGACATATCTATCTGGCATATCTTCTGGCATATTTTTCTGGCATTCTATCTGGCAAATCTTCTGGCATTCTATCTGGCATATCTTCTGGCATATTATCTGGCATTCTATCTGGCATATCTTCTGGCATATCTTCTGGCATATCTTCTGACATTCTTTCTGACATTCTTTCTAACTTTCTTCTGCACATTCTTTGTCCCATATCCTCCTACATGAGGTCCGGCAGGGAACACTTGGCGTGGATACTCGCGGTTGAGGTCCGGCAGGGAACACTGGGCGTGGATGGTCGTGGTTGAGGTCCGGCAGGGAACACTGGGCGAGGATGGTCGTGGTTGAGGTCCGGCAGGGAACATTGGGCGTGGATGGTCGTGGTTGAGGTCCGGCAGGGAACACTGGGCGTGGATGGTCGTGGTTGAGGTCCGGCAGAGAACACTGTGGGTCGCGGGTCGCAGTTGAGCAAGGACGACGAGGACGACGAGGACGACGAGGAGGACGAGGAGGAGGAGGAGAGGAGGACGAGGCAGGAGGAGGCGGAGGAGGAGGAGAAGGAGGAGGAGGCAACTGACATAAAATCTAACAACCCTCACCTGGCAGGTGGGGAAAAATCATCTGCATACAGCTGGGACATGTGCATGGGTTCACCTTGATGATGTGACTGGAAAACGCTCTCAGACCTATTACCGAGGTGCCGGTAATAAGAAGAGGAGTTCTCACCACCTCAGCTACAGAAGGCAGAAACCTACGTAGGGAATAGCTGGTGAAGGTTCGCACTTCATCATTGGGCAAACCAGCTGCAACCAACACTGCCTTCAGTAAAATCTAGAGATTTGGCCTTTCGCATCGCGTTGGATTTCCACTTGCAACTTGAATCCAGGCGTCCTGATGGCCCCATCTGAAGGTCAGGGAGGCAAAAAGATACATCTGGCGATTTGGCGTGTAGTTCCATCATAACTTGCACAGCAGGACATAAGATGCCATGGTAAACTCCTGCATCCAGCGGCACTGCCCAGTCAAAGCCTGGTCTGATGCCATGCTTGCGGCTCTTGCCGCGAGCACACGTCGCTCTGAAAAAGGAACCCTCCAACTGGAAGCACTTTGACCGCTGCATATGAGCAAACCGCAGGCAACTCATCAGGGCAAAAAAGCAAAGGACGCAAGAATTGCTAAATTTGTGTAGGAGCCCATTGCCAGCTCGCAGAACTTAAGAATTCTGGAAGGCTGGGAAGGACAAAGGTGCTCGCTGGTGAGTTTGATGCGATTCTCCGCGCCTATTCCACACAGCGACCAAAGGATCATCAAGCGGAAAAGGCACGCCAACCTGCTTCTTCCACCAATACTGCTTTTGGAATACAGATTTTGCAGCTGTAGGTCCCGCAGAATCTGCATGTTTCAAAATAGCATACAAAGCAGGAAAGGAAGGAGTCAAGACTGTCTTTTAAGGGGTACTGCTGCTGCAAGAAAGCGGCAAAACGCGCAAGCAACTGACCCTGCCACTTACAGTTTTCTGCTCAAACAATTGCATTTTCCGCACAGAAGCTTCACGTGCACATGCTTTCTCCCCTTCAAGCAGCGGGGACCATTGCTCGCCTCGCGGGCCCAATGCAAGATATATCTCCCAACAAGAATCGATCAGCTGCGAATGTGTTTGGCCTCTGCGAAGAGGTACAGGAAGATCAGTGAACCATCTAAAAGCATGCGTCTTGCAAGACAAATCAAGTGTCTCTTGCTTTTTCGAAGGGATAAGAACAGGAAAATTGTGAGCCGGCGCCGCATCTGCCACACAAGCGCGTTTCTGTCTGCAATGAGCACCCTGGGCAACTTGCACATACCATGCTGCTTCCTCATCATTAATAAACCCAGTCATCAATACTCCAGCTCTAGCGCAGTGAGGCCTGCAATATCACCATCGCACTCCAAGCCCTTTGTCTTCATGCGACTGAGAACTGATTCATGAATGGCTGCCGTCACAAAAGGTGAGAAGCCCAGTTTGTTCACAGGAAGGGTTTGCGGCATCAGACGTGCTCGCCAAAGGTGGCCCAATACACTTAGATTTAGGCAAGTGGAAATGCCTCATCATCCATGCCAAGGCTTCAGGCCTCAGAGTGCATTGAACGGATCGACCATGAGAGATTGCCGCAAAACCGGGGAAAGATTTCGCCCGGAACCCACCTGATCTGGACTTGGGCGCAGATATTCGTCAGGCATTTTTAACAATCCCCTTTCATGCAAAACCCACCAGGCCTAACAAAAGTGCAGAATGGTATGACCTGAAATGACTTGGATCATGATCGTCAAGCATCTCTTTAGAAGGCGGAGAAGAAAGAACTGCATGATGATATTCAAACGATCTGGGAATCCTCCACATTCTCTTCAAACCCGTTCTTCAATGGTTCAAAAGCGATTGCTGTAGTTTATGTATGTTTATGTTACTACCTAGGCTAAGTATAGAATGGGATCGCACTCTCAAATCCTGTTCCATTCCATCATTCCGTTCTCATCCATGCTCCCTTTACAAATTCACTGGAAGCAATGCAGTTAAGTGGCGCAAAGGAACCACTGCGGCGGCGTTTCGCCGGCCTGGAAAAGGTTCATGATGTCCATGAAAACGCAACAAGTTACAACTGGGTAATGAAATGTCTCACCAAATCCAACCCCACTAAAATTACTTATCATAATATAAATATCCAACACCATTAACCCACATTAACGCATATTAACCCATATCAACCCCATTAAAGCCAATTTGAATCGGGTACAGTGCCCAACCTTAGCAAAATTACAAGCAAAGCCATCAGCAAAGCCATGGTGCCTCAGCGGCCTTCACACCATCCGCCACACGTGGCCGCGTGGCGCTGAAATGACCGCGGTGCAACAAAGATGTGGGTCATCATGGATTGATAGTTAATGATAGATATGATAGTTGATCATTCAAATGGCTCAATTGTTTATGGTGGTGATGATCATTAACTGTCAATTCATCATATTATTGATATTTTGTGAATGTGTGTGAGTGTCGTTTGATCATTTGAGCTCCTTATCAATCAACTACATCCTCAGAATACCCCAAAGACGTGCTTTATTGCCAGGGCTGTCCGTTTTTCTCATTTCACCGCGCATGGTTGCCATTGTCACAGACGAGAAAAGAGCAGTCCTCATAATATGACTTGTATTTTCTTTATGTTTAAGAGATTCAGAGAAAAGGTTCTCCATGTTTCACCACTCTGTGCTCTTTTTTTGTCTGTGCCACACAGTCAGCTCCCTGGAAAGACTCCGCTGGCGCGGCTTGGCAGCACACCGAGGATGCCGAGGACACCAGTCCCTTGCTGGAGCGGAACCCGGCACAGCTGGTCACGAAGTCGCCTCTAACAGCAGCCTTCGCTGGTCCCTGTCCCGAAGTCTTCGTCCAAAGAAACTGCGTATCTTGATTATCTTGCAGTCATGTTCTGGTGGCATGTTCTAATGATATCAACATGTCGTTTATGGCATACACATGGTACGCATGTATACATTACATTCATCTGAATTACCTTTCGCTACATACAGTTGTTTATACATATTATTACATGTCAATCATATCTCATAATATTTTAATATATTTTACTATATAAGTGTTTAGGCATGCTGTTGGACACCCTTTCCTGAAGGCATTCCGGAGACTTCAGGTCCAGGTCGGCAGGCAAACTCATGCGACTGGCACGTCGACTCACAAAGCCACCGTTCAGTGGCAGCGCTGCAGTTTTTCCTGACGACAACCTTGGGTAAACGTGCTAAAAGTATGTGTGCACACTTGGAACAGGTATGATATGTATAGGAGTGATTACAATTGCATAGATCCTGATCCAAAATATCCAAAGATAATCAGATGGTTTAGCTTGCGCGGAATAACTTAAAGAAAATATATGTTCACATCCCCCTCAGTAATCCGCATTCCCTTTTTGCTATGACGACGGCCTCCCATCTGAGTGCCGGCCCATGGAGCATCTGTTGTATCTCCAATGGGCACATCCCTTAAATCAACACCAGGGATGGGGTACCGTCCTTGGTGCGACCAAGGAATTTCGTGGGAGGGGGGGGCAGGGAGCAGGAAATTCCACTGCCCTACCTATGGGGTCCGAGCCTAAACATCGGGGGGAGAGTAAACGTTTACATGACCAGTCATGAGCACGTTCACATCCCCCTCAGTAATCCGCATTCCCTTTTTGCTATGACGACGGCCTCCCATCTGAGTGCCGGCCCATGGAGCATCTGTTGTATCTCCAATGGGCACATCCCTATTCCTGTCACTCACCATTTTGGGAGGGCTTTCCCTCCTTGTACAGGTCTTCTCCTCTTTTCTGAACCTCACCTAATATCCTCCATTTAACTCCTCTCTCATCAAAGCTCTCTCTCAACTCAGGATTGAACAGGCTCCAATCTCCGTTGCTGAGTGCATCCGCCTGCTCATTTTCCTCCCTTCTCAACCACTCCAAGTCCAGCCTCATGTTCAAGCACCTTAATTCCTCCGCCAGCTCCATGAGGAGGACTGTCAATGGGAACTTTGTTGACATCCCCTTGGCCAAAGCGAAGGAATTCCCACGGTTGTCCGTGAAGGCTTTCATTTTACCTTTCAAGCCACCTGGGAACCGGCCTCCCCATAGTTTCACTGCCACCAATGTGGCCAATAACTCCAGCGCGGCTATCACTCTCTTGGGGCTGCCGCCCTTGGAGCGCATCCATGGCGCCAGCTCCTCATCCACATCTATGCTAAACCAGGGACACTGCATCAAGTCCTCAGAAACCCTGAGGTAGCCTCCTATGCAGGCATCCTTCTCTGACGCTCTAGCGTCTGTAAAGAAAACTAGACCTCCTTTCTGTGTCGGAGGCTCCCACTTCACCTCTTCCATCCTCCCCCCTGCCTTCAGCCTCCTAGCCAGCCAGTCAAGGATGGCAAGCACCGCCCATGGGACAATGACCCTCCCAGCTTGGCCCCTCGTAGCCGAGGACCAGACATACAAGGGCCCAAGGAACGGCTTCTCCCACGGCAAGGCCAAAGAGGCGAAGCCCAGCCGGCCTAAAACTGCCACGAATTCCCGGGGGTCTACCACCTTCTCCTGGCATACCCCCTCCATCCACCTCACAAGCCAATCCGCCCGCTTCTCCGACAGCCCAAAAGCGTAGCGGGAATAGTCTGTGAAGAGGCCGATCCACTCTGTCTGTAGGCCCCCTCTTTGTTTCTTCCACTTGAATGGAGCCCTCATTGCCGCCATGACCACATAGGCCAGAACGAGGCCCTTCCGTCCCTCCTTGCCGATACCCATCGTTTCCAAGTCATCTGCATACAGCAGCATCTCAATCGGCACTCCGGGTCCCAACAGGTAATGGACCAGCCTCAACAAGGCGCCGCTAAGACGCGACCACCAGTAGGGCGTCGAACTGACCCCAAAAGTTCCCACCTTGTTGACATAAACAAAGGGATCATGGTCTGATACCTTGCATGCAAGATATCCCTGCTCACTGCTGCAGTACTTGAAGCGGCGATGCGCCTTCTCAAAATCCCCGATCAAGGAGAAAACCACGTCCTTCGCCTTCTCAAACTTCTCCAACAGGCACCTCTTCTCTCTTCCTCCAGGCATCCTCAACTTGTCCTGGCATCTTATCCTGTGGTTCACCCTGACGCCATGTGAAGCGTCGTGGATTACCCTTTTCTTTCCCGTCTCCTCGTCCTCCACTAAAACCGCCAACGCCGCCACCGCACGGTCAGGACCAAACCTCTCCTCAAATTCTTTCACCCCCAGCTTCTCAATAAGCCCTTCTTTCACCTCAGCCTCCAAGTGAGACCTCAAATGGTCCTCGTGCACGGCTGCTGACGGATAGTTGCTCCTGGACAGCTCGCACTCCTCTGTCGGGTCATCCACCAACGACCACTCAGTCTGCCTCTCAAACGCCGCCGGGGTCATGGGCAACTGGCTCTTAACCCCCAGAGGAAGGCCTGCCTTTGCCTCGTCAAGGAACTCATAGTCGCCATCCCCCGCCTCCTTCAGCAGGGCTTCCATCAAACTCAGCCTAAAGGGCTGCCCCTGCTCCACTCCTTTGAGGTCATCACCTCCCTTGCAAAAGCTCACCAACTCCTCCACGATTGCCTCCTCCAGGCCTTCATCTCTTACCAGCCTGCAGCCTTCCTCTCCCCTGGCCATCGAGAAGCATTCTCTCTCGAGGGCCTCTTCTCCTCCAGCCTTCTGCACCACGATTCTCCTCAAGCGGGCCCTAAGATTCGCCCACTCCTCACCCTCCGGGTAGACCCGTTTTCCCAGGTCCCATCTCCCCGGAGACAGGAGACATCCCCCGTCGTGGAAGGGGACCACATTTCCTTTCCAAGAGCACCCTCTCGCAGCCCCCACTCCACCCATGACCGGTGGAAAGAACGGATCCACCTCCTCTTCCAAACCTTCTCCTTTCTCCTCTCTCCTCTCTTCCGGCATGCGGGGAGCGTCCCCACATGACTCACCCTCTCTTCTCCTCTTCTTCTCCTCTGGCCCTTGCTCACGGCCCTCATGATCCCTCTTCTTTCCCTCTCTCTGCCTATGCTCCTGTTCCTGCCCTGCCCCTTGCACACTGTTGCTAAACGCGGTCAGGAACTGCATAGCGACCCACTCACATAACTGTGGCGGCCAGCTTGCTGATTCTGCCGTCCTGAATTTTCCCCCCACTTTGCCAATCAGCGGAGTTCCCTTCATCTTGGGCAAAGGGCCCATGTAGTTTCCTTCTTCATCCAAGCTAGGCATACCTGGGAACATTCGGGGGTGAAGCGGCCCCAGCACTCTCAGAAGCAGGCGCGTGGGCTTGACACTCTCTGTACCAAAGTCCAATTGTGCCAGGGCCACGCTTTCCACCTCTTCCATCGCGGCTACCATTGCATGTTGTGGGAACTGCCACATCGAGGCAGGCCGTTGCCCAGGTATTCTGGGAGTTGCCGGCTTTCCCAAGTCCTCTGGCTGTTCCATAACTGCCACCGCGCCCTTCCTCCTGAGCTGGCGCTTCATGGCTTCGAAGGAGAAGTCAGCCATAATGTTCCCCAGCTCCGCCTTTTCCTTTCTTGCACCTGAATTCCATGTGAAACCTCTTGGGCAATCTGAGGATCTCAAAGGGTACGGCCCCTCATCATTAGCCCATGCTGCCCTGCTGAAGGTTGAACAGGGTGGGGTGACAAGCAGCGCGTCGACTCCTCCGGAGTCTATCAATTGCAGCCATTTCCTCTGGACGGCCGGCATTGATAAATCGGCCCTCTTGCCATGGCGGAGATCCACCTCAATTACCTCCACCCTGAAGTGAAACTTTTTCGCCAGCCTGCGCACGTAGTACGCTACTGACCTCGTCCTCTTCCTACCTGAGAACAGGTAGAGGACGGTGAACTTCTTTCAGGCCGCACCCCCGCCCGCCGTATCCGGCGGCTGCCTCTTGTTGCCATCACACTGGTACATCGGGTGCTTGGTTGAAAAGCAGATGCCACATTGATGGCTGAACCTGCACTTCTGCATCTTGCACTTCTCCCCCGCTGTGTTGAAGCGGAAACAGATGGGGGTCCCTTCTTTGTTGTGCGTTGCACATCCTGGCAATTGCTTGCCTCCCCCCTTGTTCTTCCCTTTTCCTCCTTTCTGATCCGGCCTTGTCTTCTTCGGTGGGGGGCTCTCCTGTACCTTCCAGGGCGGTGCCTGGGGGGCCGGTCGTTTGGCATATAGTGCCAACGGGGTAGTAAAGTGGCGCTCTTTGGTTGTAGGGTCTCTCCAGGCCAGCTTCAGCGCCCTTGGGAAGGTTTCACCTTCCTTGTTGACCCGTTGCACCGCATCCTTGCGGACCGCCTTTTCATATGCCAAGACCAGTCTGAAAGGCGGTGCTGCTATAGTGTAACCCTCTGCATCCCTTGCATTCAGACCATATACGTGCTCGCCCAGGAGGTACTCCTTGAACTCCTCGAAGGTCCGGGTGTAATCACCCTGCAGCTCTGGGCGATTCGTGTGTTTCAACGCTATCATCTGATAAGCGTTTCTCATCACTGTCAGTCTCCTCCTCAATGCCTCGGGGTTCTCCGGCTCTTTCACCCTTGAAGCTCCCTTCCTCACCGTGAGGTTGCCGCGGGCATCCCACTGAGGCACCATTGAGTCCGGATCTACCTCGTCCCGGCTCACCACCTCTGACAGCTCCTCTGCTCTGTAATCGCCCGCTTCCACCTCTTGTAGCTTCTTCTCCACATATTCTTTTGATGGGGTCACCTTGTCATCTAAGGCGCCCACCACCCTTTCCAAGCCACTCTTCATAGCGAGCCATTCTGAGCTCACCATCGGCTTGGTCCAGTCCTTAGTATCCATCTCTGCCTCCATCTCTGCAGCCCTCTGGATACGGGCCTTTGCATTCGACCACGCACAGACGACCGCCGCCACCTGGACCCTTTCTTCCAAAGACCTGCCCTGGTCTATGTCCAGATGGTCCTTTAAGACCTCCGTCAGGTCCGCCACATCCTTTGCTATGTTCGCGAACTTCTCCATGGTCACCACCCCAATGTGGAACCACAAGGCCATCACCTTTGACGGCACATCATTCCGTTCCAACAGGAACTTCAAATCTGCCCCTCCCTTAGGGAGGGCAGCCGCCTCCTGCTCAGCCGTCAGCACGAGGGGCGGCATGTTTCCCTCTCGAGCCCATGCTGCAGGCGTTGCAGCATAAACCCACAGATCACTTGGCCACCACCGGCCGGGAGGGCGCGGCCCCCCCAGACAAAAACTCCTAACCTCCCCATGGGCTCCATGGGGGGGAACCCTTGGTGGAGCGTCCACCAGAGCACCCTCAACCTACCGACCCTGGGTGCGACCCAAGGATTTCAACTGCCAACACCCATGCACTCAAACACTCCGGCCCTGGGTGCGACCCAAGGACTTCAACTGCAAATCCACATGCTGGCCTTGGGTGCGACCCAAGGACCCCCCCGCTCAGCAGTGCTGCTGCTAAACTTTTCACCGACCTGGTATCTTCACCAGAGGTCTCTCCCGGCTCCCCATCGACGGGGCTGTACAAACAGTCATTCGCAACGGGCCCTACCGCTCCGCCCTCACTCACTTCGTCTTCAGAGTCACTAGAGGACATCTCCTCCTCCTTCTGCGGCCAGCAGAGCCTGCAACGGCTCGTGTACTCCTCAGGCGTTGGCAACTCATCGTATGCCTTTGCCTTCTTGAACTTCCTCTGCTTGGCCATCCAACACCCTCCACCTCTGTGGAGTTTGCCTCTGTCGATCCTATTGTAAACCACCACAAACCCTTCTCTCCTCACTTCATCAAGCCTTTCCACGCCCTTTCTTCTTTTCACCTCCGGACTTCCAGACGTGGAGGAATCACTCGACGAGGAGCTCTCGGCACTGCTCGCTGCCGCTTTCTTCTGCCCCTCCGACTTTTCCGCACATTCACCTTCTCTCAGAAGGTCCATGAAGGGCTCATCAGGTTGAATCCTGATCTTCCAATTCTCCACCGCCCTGCTGGCCACCTCCTTCCCAACGTTCCACTTTTCCACCAGCCAGGACTTCATCTCCTCAAGCACTGCGCCCTCGTCATAGGTCTTGTAACCCTCACCCTTTCGAATGGGCTCAGCGAAGGTCCTCTGCAGCCTGCGGACAACAGCGTTGTATGTCCGGACATACTGATCCGATCCCTCGGGCTTCCACCTACCGAGCAAATCCCGGTCAGGCTTCGGGATACCCAAGGCCGCCAAGCAGCTAGTCATGGTGGAGCGCTCGCTATGTTCAGTCCAGAACCGCTCCCAGCCTTCAGGGACCAGCTTATGCCCTGCCGGCCCTTTCATTTCTCTCATGACTTCGCCACTCCATGCCACGGCCTCCTGGTAGGGCATAACCGCATTGACTGCCGTGCCCGTGCTCGCCCCCATCGGGACCACCAGCTCGAACCCGTCCCCCAAGGCATGTCTTAGGGACCTCAGACCTTCTTCCATCCAATTGGGGTGAGCTACCCAAGCCTCTTCAGAGATGAAGAACGGCAGCTCCTTCACTCTTTTTCCTGCCCCAGTCGTTTTTGTCCTCTTCATGAGGCCGGCAAACTTTCCCTCGTAGGCGGTGACCATCTCCGTCCTCATGTGAGCCATGTCGTCAAACCTCAACGACGCCCACACCTTCACCAGCTTCATCCACGCCCCCGCTCTCATGCAGTGGCTCTGAGCTGCATCCATCACAATCTCCTCCAGTGCAGGTAGGAAACACGTGATCATTCTAGGGGCCCTCTTTCTCGGTGGGGCTCCACTCTCGAGCTTCCGCAGCAGGTCTCGGACCACCAACCCAACAAGAGGGTCACTACTCATCCCCCGGCTCTGCTCCAACCCTGCCAGGGTCTCGAACCACGCCACCGCCTTTTGTACGGACAAGGGAACCGATGGCCCCATGCCTTCCTCTTCTCTTGCGTGGAGATAATCCACCAACTGCGTGCCCGTTTTCGGCGGCTCATCCGACACGGACATCGTCCACCGCCAGTAGGCAAGGTATCTCCGCACCGTAGATGGGCGGTATTTTCCAAGGAGTGCCCTCCTAGCCCTTGCCGGATCAGCTGCTTCACCTGCCTTTTCCAGCACTGGCGCACATACCATCTCCAGCTCCACCAACAGGGCCTTCAGCACCTTTTCCTCTTCCGCATCTTGGGCTTCTTCTTCTGTTTGCCTGCGGCCCACATGGACCCTTTTCTTCCGGCCCAACTTCGGGACCACTATGACCACTGGTTGTGGCCCGCTTCCTGTGCTCGGACCCCCCGGCTCCCGGGACTTCAACTGGCTCGACACCGCGTCCATGATGTTCTGAACCGCTGGGGGTGCCATCTCCCCAGGTAGCCTCGAGTCCATCATCACGGAATCGTAGGCATCCTTGACCTGGCCAGTTACCAGCCGACAGATCCATGGCTTGTATTCAAGCCTCGCCCTGTCAGCCAACTGGTGGGCCAGTTCCTCCTCCTCGCCCAACTGTAGCGCCAGCTTCGGGCCGGTCAGGCCCACCCTCCGGAGGAGTCCCAGGATCGTCCCAACTTCCTCCGGGGACCCCTCGGCAGCACCATCTTGCTGCACCTCCATCTCCATGGCAGCAGGAAATTCCACTGCCCTACCTATGGGGTCCGAGCCTAAACATCGGGGGGAGAGTAAACGTTTACATGACCAGTCATGAGCACACATATATATATATATATATAAGTAATATAAGTATAACAAATTATAACAATAGATAATATAAGCATAACAATCAGATTTTGAAGCAATTTCAAAGAAACAGGAAGCAACTGCCCTGCTTACTTTTCCTTTTCCAGGCCATGCTTAGGATAAGACTCGGTCAGGTCTCTAACAACTGGCCTTAGTCTTCCGAACTCATCGCGGCTGGCTTGGCATGCGTAAGGTTGAAATGGCTCCTGTTGTATGATCTTACAATATCAATCAATATCATATGCAAATTATATGCAAATTGCCCCAAGTTCAAATAGTTCAAATAGTTCAAATAGCACAGCATTTCTTGACTTGGCCTCCTTGAAGGTTGCAGGGAGTTCATCTCATAAATTCAGTTCATGTTATTGTAGCTCTCAGATCGACATAGATCGACAAAGACACTTCACCGAGTACCCAGACCTTTTGCATCCAGTTCTTCGTCGGCCGAGCACCGACTTTCAGCAGCAGCTGCGACCTCAGAAATCTATGGGGACACCAATACGCACTAACCCTTGATGCTCGAGCACTCCCAACAATACAGCTCTTTCTTGCCACAACACCCAGCATGCATTCAGGATGTAAAGAACGCAAACACCAATCGAAATTGGCTGCAAAACAAACAAATTCGAATTGCTGACAGTACATGGCATGCTCCTTCCGTGAATGCCCGTTCGTGCTGAACAAGAATGTAATCCCACTAGGGCAGTAGCTGTTTCAGGTTGCTGTACCAGATTAGCATCTTCTTTTAATCGATCCTGTCAGGCCGCTGCTTCTCGTTTCAAATGTCACAACCTGAAATAGTAACGACAGTCACACGACAGTCACACAACAGTCACACAACAGTCACGCAGTTGCAATAGTTTTGGTGAGCCTGGAAGTGCTTGGCAAACCTCGAAGCAAAATAAAGCAAAGCGCTGAACAAAGTGTTCTTCTTGGGACTTTGCAAGTGCTGTGAAGAGTGAAGATCTGTAAAGTCTAGTATAGTCTAGTGGCCTCTGTCCATAATGTGGAGGAGGCACCGTCGCCTTCATCTTCAAACACACAGAACTTGGGCAAACTGCTGCATTGATGAAAGAACTTAACCAATCATTGGAGCTGATTTGCACTGATCTGCACTCATCAAGATTCACCTTGTTGAACTCGAATGATTTGATGTACCTGGTACAAGCAGCTCCAAGCAGCTCCAAGCGACACCGTCGGAGTGTCCGCATCAAAATGCATAAATCTGAAACTGTTATTCGAGTGCAGTGCTGGGCACTTCTATGCACTTCTTAGATAGATTGAACGCGTTAGTAGAAGCTATGAGGTGGTTTTTGAAATGTCCCAGCTTCTTACAGCTGCCCGTTGCCAGAACTTCAAGGCCTGCTCAGACCAGTTTTGAAAGATTAGAACGGCAAATGGCATCCCGCGCCCCCAAAAATTACCATAATGTATTTTCTGGGACTAAAACCAAAATCATATCATAACAGGAGACAAACTCAACAATTGAACACCAAAGAAATTGAAGACACACCCAACAATACATGATATGATAAGATATGGAATAGAAAATGAAACAGGCTAAGAAAAACAGAAAATGAAACAACTAAAAAACTAAACAAAGATACACATAATAACAGCATACAAACTCAACAATTCAACACCAAACAAATTGAAGACACTAACCAAAATCAACCAAAGAACCAAGGTATGAGGCAGAAAAACAAAAGAACCAAGCAAAACCAAGAAATGACAAGACAAAACCAGAAGAACCAAGACATGGAACAAGAAATGAAACAAGTAAAGAAAAAATAAAATACTCCCAGAACAATACAACAAATAAAAAGCAAATGAACCAACAAGAAGGGGGATAAACAATAAATGATACATCATATGGAAGTTGGGCATGGGTCAGTAGGTAGAAAATAATTAAATCCGCCCGCACCGAAGGTGCTGGGGCGTGATCTTCCGGATGGCACTCGTAAAAGGTTACAGGTTTACCTGGGGGGGGGGGGCATTTTTCGGCCAAAACCTCCTGTTTTTGATAGGTCGTGACGCTCGCCTTCAAAAAACACTGTAAAAAACAGTACGGAAGACACCTGTTCGTGAACGCGCCCGTCCAAAATCGGCAAGCGAAAAGTGAAAAAAAACCCGTGTTTTTCAACTTTTTGACCTCAATTTTTTGGTTTGCAACATCTTTTTTTGCGGTTCCGCAGGTGGCCTGGCCCGGAGGCGGATTTTTGAGTTTTTGGACCCGTTTTCGGACTGATTTTCGTCGTTTTGTGATAGCAGAAACACTGGTTTTTACAGTGTTTTTCTGTTTTCTGCATGCTTGACGGCTAGCTTCAAAACTTCCAAAAACCTCGTAAATTACGCTGTTTTATGTTACGGTGTGAATGAAAACATCGTAAATACCAGTGTTTTTTTACGTTGGTTAAAAAAACACTGTAAATTACAGTGTTTTTGGCCACCTGACCCTCAAAAACCATGGTATTTGCAGTGGTTTCTGCTTCTCACCGCGCAAAAACACTGTAAATAACAGCAATTTCGCCGTTTTTTCATGTTTTTCGTTATTTTTTGAACTGCGTTGGTCCGCTATACATGGCTATTAAATTCTTCGCGTTTTTTTTTCCGACAATCAGTACTTTCGGATGTTTTTGGTCTCAATGGCCGACATCATTGGCAGTTACGAGCGGCTGCCCAACGATGCGGTGCGGGCGGTTGCCGTCGCGAAGCGACGTGAATAATTATAGCAACTATTCAATAATTTCATTCATAACTCCCTACACTCTCTCCATCGCTTAAATCTTCATCATCGCTTGTTTCACTTTCAAGTTCCTCATTAAAAAATAAATCATTTACATAGTCCAATAAACTAAAACCAAAGCCATCTCCATACAAAATATTATTGTATTGTTTATCTTCAAAATGGCAAATTATTTGAAACAGCACCTGATATAAAAACCTTTCTTTCTTCAATGTCGTTATTCCTCCTCAACCAGTTTATCAAGTTCTCGTAGTCATATAACTCTCTGTAGAAATATCTTAACTCGTAATGGTTGTCATTCTGTTCATCATCATTGTCATATCTGTCAAGCCATTCTGAACCTTTCATAATTTCATTTTTTATAACTTCATGCTTTGGAAACTTATGAAGCCTTGTGTGAAAAAAAATATTTCAAACAATGAATATTTGTTGAAATTTGGTGCTGAATTAACAACCCCAATCATCTTTTGACATGGCTTACATCTAAAATTTGACGCTACATCCTTACCAATTTCAAATGGCAATTTGTTTCTGAAGATTGAACCGTAATAATTTTGTTATCTTCAAGCAATCATCACAGAACATCTCATCTTCCACAAGAGCAAAAATTGTTGAGAACTCTGTAAATAGCACAGTCCAAATCTTCGTAATTCGTAATTTGATATGTTGTCTCACTTTCAGTGTCTGACATTTTACTAATATATTTATATAAATATGTCTTTAAGTATCTACTCCCAGAATTAAAAATACTTAAAGAGATATTTGTATTAATAAAATATATAGTATTATATCATGAAACATGTTATTGATTACTTACTGAAAATGACATAGCAGAAATTCCAAAAAGGGGAAGGAAAGAATTGAAACAAATAATCATAGATGGTAGAAAATATAGATACAACAAGGATAAGCCAATTTCAAACATACTACAAAACAAGTTGAAGACCATTAAAAGAACCAATGAATGAAGGAGTTATTCTCATAAGAAAATATCATTAAGTCTTGGAATGAAGAAAGCCTTAACCAAATACGCAATTAGAAACAAATTTAGGGTTGAAAATAAACAGTCAGCATTCAAAAATTATGCCAATAACTTAACACTGGTTAACAAACATTATCAAGGTGAGAAAGGCTTATCAATGATACAATACCAAAAGACTTTATTACTTGAATTCTTAAATAACAATAGATTTTTTTAATGAGGAACTTGAAAGTGAAACAAGCGATGATGAAGATTTAAGCGATGGAGAGAGTGTAGGGAGTTATGAATGAAATTATTGAATAGTTGCTATAATTATTTAATTATTTTCTACCTACTGACCCATGCCCAACTTCCATATGATGTATCATTTATTGTTTATCCCCCTTCTTGTTGGTTCATTTGCTTTTTATTTGTTGTATTTTTCTGGGAGTATTTTATTTTTTCTTTACTTGTTTCATTTCTTGTTCCATGTCTTGGTTCTTCTGGTTTTGTCTTGTCATTTCTTGGTTTTGCTTGGTTCTTTTGTTTTTCTGTCTCATACCTTGGTTCTTTGGTTGATTTTGGTTAGTGTCTTCAATTTGTTTGGTGTTGAATTGTTGAGTTTGTATGCTGTTATTATGTGTATCTTTGTTTAGTTTTTTAGTTGTTTCATTTTCTGTTTTTCTTAGCCTGTTTCATTTTCTATTCCATATCTTATCATATCATGTATTGTTGGGTGTGTCTTCAATTTCTTTGGTGTTCAATTGTTGAGTTTGTATGCTGTTATGATTTTGGTTTTAGTCCCAGAAAATACATTATGGTATTTTTTCCCCCAGTCATCTCATGTCATCGCTACGGCTACATTGCCTAGTACGTTCCCCTCCGCCCTACACGCCATACGAGGGGCAGGGGCACATGGCAGCGACTTTGGACATTGTCCAAGGCTGCAGAAAATCGATAATGCCCATGTGAATAACCTTACCGAACGATGCGAACGTGTCCGGAGGTTCACATAAAACTCTCCTGACTCGGGAGGCACTGCATCAAATCAATCAAATCCCAAACACTTTTACAACTTTGACCCAGCAATGGCCTTCAAAGAAGTCTCAACATGTTTTGATGTCTCAATTTCTTCCCAGCCGCTTGTTTGAACACTCATGTAGCTCCAAGGTTGTGGCTACAAGCTCTCCGGTAGCTTTATCGAGCATAGCCCACCGGTCTCAGCGCGAGTGCAGAAAAGTATTGACTTCATGCGCTGTCTGTTGGCAAACCTTGCGATTCACCATGTTGAAAGACGCTCAAGTCGTACGTCGTACATGAACATGGCATAGAAATCGTTTGTTTCTACCAGTGTGTTTAGAATGGCACCCCACCCCATTCAGTTCAGTAGAACCTGAATCGAAATAGGTGCACAACCAGACAGGCCACAAAGACAGGGACATTTCAATTTTGATGTAAGTCTTTATAAATTACCAAATCTTCATGGCAAGCCTGGACCAAGGCTCTAGCGAAGGCCTGGAGGTGCAGAAGTGGGGGCTGCCACGGGCAAAGGACCTGTGTTGAAACTAGTTGCGCTCAGGTTGTGTTTATAGCGGCAAACACAAGGAGTGTGATAGCGCTCCATTTGCAGTCACAGTTTGGTACCAAGTGTCTACATTCTTTGTATCACAGGAGGTTTTCAACGTTTCTCTGCTACTAGACGACTGCCTGCGCCGCAGGATTTTGCCACGTCTGGAGGCAGTCGGCGAATGGCGATGAGCAAGGAGTAGTCCATAATGCTTTGACCTTTCCAAAGTTTCGCTGCCAGGACCAACGCACTGCAAGATCTGCAAGTACTCCCAAAACACCCTTGGCGCCCCGCTGATCAACCAGTCCTCGGACCAGACGCGTCAGATACATTGAACATCTGAAATTCAAATGAAGTGGCTGGAATTTATAAGCGCGTGTCATGTGCAGGTCCAAAAAATGCAAAAAAAACTTTCAATGTCGTATGATAATCAAATGGCTGAGTATATATGACTAAATAGTGTTAAATTATGATTAAATATGATTAAATCATATTAACCATACACTATAGTTGCACTATCTGGCATAACACTGGCATAAAAAGGTAGCTTTAATATGCTTTAATTACGGGCAGGACTGAGGGTTGTCCCGGAATGGTCGTATGAACGTCAGTGGGAGGCTCATTTCTCTGCGCAGGTGCAGTGTTTTATGACTCTGGTACATCTGTGAGTTAGCGTGGTCTAAGACGAATTTTTGGAAAAATCAGTCAGAAAAGTGAACCCTCTGCGGACTTCAGGCGTTTCGGCCATTTCCACTTTTTCAATCTTTTCGACTTTTTTGGCGAGTCCGGATTTTATAACTTATGTAAACCCTAAATGAAACACCTAATAGAAGTATGCGTATATGTTCCATGGGGCCGGGGGATTTTATAACTTATGTTATACCCTATATGAAACCCCTAATAGGAGGTATGCGTATATGTTCCATGGGGCCGGGAGATTATGACAAGGACATGTTATGACAAGGAAATCCCCTAGCACTGGAATGATGGAACCAATGGGTTGCTAGCTCCGCTCTCGGGTATGGCCCTCCGGGCCATACCCTCGTCCTGTGGGTTTAATTATATATAATATATTGTATACCTTTATAACTTTTACAGTATAAGATGGCATCTGATGTGTATCAGAAGCTTCTCAAGTTCGTCACGTTCGTCAAGGTTCCGCATCTGCAGAAATCTGCTTCACCACTTCTTGCCGTGCCGTTTCTGCTAGACCTAACCTGAGATCATTGCCGATTTGGTATGGCACAGGGTTTGTCACGGTATGTCGGTATGCCCCCAAAAATTGTTGTTTCATTGAGAAAATGATAGGAAAATGATGATCAAACTGTCAAAATTGGGGAGTAACCCTATTTTTAGCCTTAAAACAAAGCCCAAGTGAGACTCAAGACGTGTTGATTCAGGCGAAAAGAGCCTGGCAAAGGATTACTGATGAGGCATTGCAATGCATTCAGTGTCAGTTTCAATGTCACTTGCTGGGACCACGATGAGGATTGAGATGATTGAGTGTAAGTTCAGCCCAGGCGCTTGAGGGTCCTCGCCTGAACCTGACAGGCTGAAACATGGCTGGAAACAGCCTAGCCGAAAGCTGCTTTGCACATCTTTGCACGTGCGTGCGTTTTTTGGGACAGGCCTTGCCCCTGTAGTATGCCCATCTTTCGCTGGACCACCTAGGTGCGAGATGCTTGCAGTTGCAAAATGTTGAAGAAGCGTGTTCAGCGGCCACTAGCGCATTTTATTTTGAAAAGGCACACATCAATAAAAATAGATAAAAATAGATAAAAGATGATAAAAGATGATAAAAGCACAAATCTCTTCAGAGCAAGCCTTCTGAGTTTCTTGCATGCAGGCACACCACATATGTGGGCCTCGGGATGGTGTCCAACAAAACCGTTGTGCAGCGTGCACTCGTGCGAGGAATTTGGACAGTCCGCAAGGACAACTCAGACTGGAACGGTAAAACCGCTTGCGCACAGGTGTAATCAGCTTGCCATTGACCTGCCGCTCATACACCCACAAAGAATCCAAAAACACGCAACAAGTCTTTAAGTCTTACAGTATAAGTTATGCTTCCATCTGATGAACATGGAAACCGTTGCAAATAAATAAGGACAGCAAGAACGTCTTCATAATGTCGGAGCTCCACATTCCAGACCAATTTGATCAGGCAGAGAGGATGTTGTAACAGGATTAGGTCAAAGTACACATGCATGATGTCTTTTGAATACCTCTCTGACGAACGTATTTCAAACAGGTTGGCAGGCGAAGCAAGATCATTCAACCCGCATGCCAGAGCGTCGGATGTTGAGATTGTTGAGCTAATTTGAGCTATTTAGCCTGTGCTTATCTGTGGCAATATAGGACTGTCAAGTCTCCGAACCTCAAGGGTTTTGTCGTCATCGCAGCCTTTAAGGTCATACTTGGCGGACCAAGGACCTCCCTGCAAAGCACAGCACAAAGCACGGCAAAAGGGCCAAAACCTCCATTCTTGGCAATGATATCCAATAAAATGTATAATTAATTATATCCAAATATCAGATTGGATTGGCATAAGACACACTTTCGGCGATTCTGCCTCTGTGAGGTTCCGCATGACCATAAAGTATTGACCCGTTGCGATGTCCTTGAAGTGCATGTAGATGGGACCTTTCCCACACTGAGCCAGTGTGGTGAATCCACAAGATGAACGAAAAAAACACGACAAATCACTACAGCTTTCCACGTTCGGTGCTTTAGCTGTGGCTTCCACAGAGCATGGTTGATCCATCTAACCTTGGAGCAAGTTTGCAAAACTCGAACTGCATGGAATCCTGTTCCATCTCCATGGGCTATCAAAAGGCTATGGCTCAAACTTCAAGATCTTCAAGCAGTAAAAATATGTAAAAATTGTGAAATTATGTGAAATTGACCTTTTTAGAAAGTGAAATTGTGCAAGCCAGTTGCATCCTCTCGACCAGTGGCCCAGCGATTCGCTGAAGCGTTTCGTTGTCGTCCTTTGAAAGGGACTTGATGACCTGGTGGCAACAAAATGATCAAAATGCAACAAATGTCGCCACATGTCGTCACAAAACCCTTGTTGTGCCATGTTGTGCCTTGGCTTTGCCTTGTGCAGGATCCAGCCCCTTTCCTATCCAGCCTACCTGGCTTACCTGAGCTCCTTGTCCTGATATATCCTGTTCCTGAACCCTCCAGATAAGTCTCTGGGAGGCATACATATCTCCGACAGCCGCTTTCGAACTGGGCTTGGCCTCAAAGGAGAACATGCAATTGGCTCTCGACAAGCACACGACCAAAACATCCAAGCTCCTGGAAAGTGCGGATTGTGTTACTCTGGAGGTGACCGAATTAAAGTCATCTAACATAATAACATGATAAATCACAATGATAGAATATAACATAATCATAATCTAACACAATAATCATACAATAAAACATATAAAACATAGTACATAAACATACGTCCAATGGCTCTGTACATCTCTGTACTGTAATTCATGTGCCTTTGATGTGTTCGATGTTGATGTCCAGTGAATTCAGCACAGGGCTTGAACACACCGCTGGGAGTCCGAACCGCCTTTGCCATGGTGTGACTCGGAGCGGGGCATCTCCAGATTCAGACCCTGGCCGGAAAGTGTTGCTCTCGTCGTTTTCGAAACGGGGCCACAGCCAACCTTGAAGGTTTTTCATATCTCGCATCTGAGATTGCACCACAACTGGCAGTCCTGATGTATGTGTTATGTAAGTTATGTATCTTGTTGTATGCACGAGTTAGTGGCCATCAGTAACTCACCAAGTGTATCCAAGCGTCAAATATTCAGGGAGGCTCTGCCATCTGGCCATGGTCCCAAAATTCTAGTGAATCTACTGAACAGGTCAGCAGGCCTGAGACTTTTGCCCATTCTCCAAGAAATCCTCTGGCACTTGGTGGGCAGCCCTCAAAGGACCGTAAATCTCATCATTGAGCACCTGCAAAGAGCAGGCTATTGCGGCTATGAGGAATGCATTGACATACATTGACACAGTGTCAAAGCGGCTTTAGGATCTTTGGGCTTGAGTTCAACAAGATCAACAAGGCTTAAGCCCTCACTCGCGTTTTAAACTCGTGAAAATCAATCGAAGACTACCCTGGAAGATCCTGGAAGCACCTCAACTAGTCTGCCTGCCACCCTGGCACGGTTCGCTGGCCTGAGCAAATGCCAGTGCTGGTGCGGCTGCTCTCAACAGAAGGCCACTGAGGCTGAAGCGAGGCCAACAAAGGTGTTCGCGCTCTCTCCAAGAAGTTGCACGGGCTGCACGGGAACATTGGGATGCCTCCTTGGTTGGAAGCGAACTTGGAATTTGAATCAATACACAATCGGCAGCTATTAGATGCTATTAGCCTATTGAATGCTATCAAGCTATTGAAAATTGGCTTTATGGAAGAAAAAGGGCGGGAACAACAGAGGACATCAGTCATTGTTGAAATGGCTGTCAGCAAAGCGCAAAGAGTTCTAGGCACACCCAGGGCATACTGCTACTGTTTCAGAATTTTGCTCCTCAGCTGGAGATCAAGCTGAGGACATCCGAGAACTGCGCAAGCGCAACAACTCTCCTGTCATGTCATGTCTTTGCCTCAAGAGGGCTCGGCTCTTCTGTGTCTTTGGTGGTTTCTTTCTGCTTCAAGATGCTCAGGTTGCTGAATCTTGAATGTTCGATGGCTGAGCGAAGGAGCTTTCGATTCAGTTAAGCGCTGTGGCTGTTTTGCGGCTCAATGAGTCTGCTAAGACAAGTGCACCCATGGATATGAGAAGCCTGCCGAACGGCTGCACAAACAGGCATGAAAAGGGTTCTTTCTCTTGACAGGGGCCAGCATGACGGCTTCCGCAATTCTTACCGGTTGAGTTTGTTTCAGAAAGGGCAAGTGAGGTAACCTCTAATTAGATCTAATTAGTCAAATTGCAACTCATCACAATTCTAACCAAACAAGGTAACTTCATCTCAAAACCTGGCGTGAAATCCACATGGCGCGGCCTTTCAGCACTCCCGGCTTCCATTTTCACACAAGCGGAGATCAAACTGCTTACAGGTTATGAATGGAACAACTTAGTCATTCCGTTCCAGTAAGCAGTATCAGAAATGAACGTTTATCTGCTACACTATGAACAACAAAGCAACACCAAGCAATGATATTGTGTGCCATTGCGGTTTGGTTGGACCAATGAGAGGTGAAACTTTCTGAGTCTGTGAGACATTGTTGCAGGATTCGGTACTCTCTAGCTTAGCTTGAATCAAACTTGCAGTTGGCCGTGACCAGACAGTGATCCCAGATGATCCCAGTATGTCTGTGTCTTCCATCTTCGCGGATGGGAATTTGGTGAGAGTCCCATTGAATTCACCTGCCATGGCTCAGCCCAACACTCGGCCAGCATGCCAATCATGCCAGCCTTCTCGATTCCTGACACCGACATCCGAGTTTCACGGCCCACCAATCCCCACCGATGTTATCAATTCACACGGGCCTAAGGAACTTCTCCTTGATGATTCTGTTCAGTTGTCGATGCTCTCTGGCCTAAAGATTGCAAGGTTCTTGGGGGCCTGAACAATTGCCTTGAAGATGTTTATTCAGCGATAGGTGACCTACTTACTTCCTCTGCATCATCCATTTTCATGTGAGATTGTGGGCACCATTCTTGGAATCTCTCAGCACTCGTCGGATTTGTTGAGTCGTTGCATGTTGCAAATCTTGTGACCGGCACTGCCACACTGCCGCTCAGGTTGAGTCGTTGCTTGAATCGCAGGTTTCAGCACTCATTGCCTGGGAGGACATGGCTGACATCATCTATTTCATCCAACAAGATCTTTCCAGGTCTTTCCAGAAAGAGCAGTGGCAGTCACAGATAGTCACAGCATGTCCAAAGTCTGCGCCTCGACGCTTCGAGACCTGGAGAATCGTGCGTAGATGACCGGCTCAGACCCCGACTGAAGCTCAGACTATTGTTCTAAAATGTTGTGAATTGTGTGAAATTGTATGTGAAGGTGGTCTCCTCATGAGCATACTTGAGTATTTTTGCATTGAGAACTGAAACCCAGCCTCTGGGTTGATGGAGTACCAGGAACAGTGGAGGCTTGGGACACAGTCCCAGGCCTTCATGGGCGCAACCGGACATGATACAAAACATTTGTCCCCATGTGGTCGCCATCTGGTCACCATGAGTTGCCCTGGGTGTCACAGCGCTTCAAGCAACCAGCTGCCTCAATACCAGGAGTGTACTCGACCCTAAGCGGACCTGTCAGGCTCACAAACGCAAGCCAAAAAGCATTCAAAAGATCAAGCAAACACATGCAAACACAATGGTGGTAAACAATGGTAAACACACATGCAGTTTGTTTGAGGACATGTTTGCAAGAAACCCAACTACATTGAGGACTGGAGTTATGAATATCCTGCAATATCCTGCATATATATGGAAACAAATCGATTGTTTCACAAATTAAAAGATTGTTTCTGTGGATAATTGTGCCATCCTAAAATGCAGGGAGTAATGCAGGGAGTGTCTCTGCTTTGCCTTCTTTCTGGCCCAGCCGCGCGTATGCTGCAGCTTTGACCTTGCGAAATATGTGCAACAGGAGTTCGAATTGCTTGTGATTTCCTGTACAACACCTTTGGAATATGTTGTTGGATCTTGTTGTGGATATTGCTAATGTATGACGCAAAACACCCAAAACTCCGATAATATGCACAAGCGCATCAAGGACCAAAGCTGGCTGGCTCAGGCTGGCAAAAGCGCTGGGGTTACGTTCTTGTCACATAATAGCGATTCACTATGCGGCTTTCGAGAGCAGAATAATATGCATGAGAGTTGGTGTTCTGCCTAATTGTTACACTGTGCTTTGAAGTATTGATTCTGGCAGGAATGAGCGGGTGCAACAACAAAGATCATGAGCTGTTGATGTCAACCACAAAGTTTCAGAATAAATTAGTAAAAAGCCATTTATTTTGCTTGAATTTGAATGATGGTGTCTGTCCAAGCGATTTTTTTCCCGCCGTATTGAGTAGTTCAGTAGTTGAGCATAGTTCAAGTAGCGTCAGTAGGTTCAATATTGTTACAGGTAACTGATGCTCATAATTTCTCACAATCTATATATCATATATCCTAATCTGATCTCTCCATCTCTCTCCATATCTCTCCTGGATAAACATGTTGCATTGAGCCCCGCACTGCAGAGCCAGCCACTGAGCGCCACTGCTGTTGCTCCACCGTCAGTGGCTGCCACAGAGGTCCTCAGCTCCAAGTGGACTGTTGAAGTAGGATGCTTCACTAAGTTCAAGAACAGCAACCTATCAATGACCTACCAACAGATTGAATAGATTTGAATAGATCAATATGAATTCCTACCCGAGTTTGAAGGATGGAGAATTAAACTTCTGTTTGTGGGCGTCGGAGGCAGCTAGCACAAGTGAATGCCATCAGAAATGCGCCTGGTGATCCAACAGGCCAAATACCATGGTCAGGTCGCTTCCCAAGACGTTTGCCTTGGAACGGGGCAACGATTGGCAACGTACCATGCTGATGTGTTGCACACATGTTGCACACCAGCTTGAGGCGTGCAACGCACAAGGACTCCACAGCTGGCTGCTCGATTCCCAGGAGGCCTCGGAGGCCTCTGAATTTCTCCCGAATCCAGTGGTTTCTTTGCCACGGCCACGGCTCAGCTAGGCTACTTGACACTAACCTCCTTCAACCATCTTCAACATCTTCAACCATCTGCAATCATGTTCAACCTCGCCATGCCGGCCATGCCATGCATGATGCTCTTATATAACATCTCTAAACTTCGCCCGCCTTCTCTCGGCCTCACGTCGAGACAATGGCCTGAGCTCTGGGTCACATCCACTTTGTAAGTTGATCCAGCAAACTCATGACCAACAATTGGAAACAGAAACATCAAATCAACGCATGTCTATGCATTTCTAAAATTTTCTAAAGTCTATTCTGACAATCTTCTGTTCCCCAACCACAAGGTACTGCTACTGATGCATAAGATGAAGACTGTGAGCTTGCCATGCACGCCCTCGGAACGCCAAACTGCACAAACAGAAGCAGCTGCCACTATGATGAGATGTATCACCTCAAAGTTTCAAAGGCCCTTTAATGAATTCCATCAATCCAAAACTTTAGGATTTAAATCATTGATGGCAGATGGGCTGACTATGCCCTTCGTCATGACGTTGCTGAGGGCAGCACCTTGATTTCTGCGGCCTGTTGGCCGCAGTGTTGCTGTAATTACTTTCTGGACTGGCTTTGTCTGGCTGTCCTGGTCTTGTCCTGTTGAATCGTATTGCTTAGATCGGTAAGCCTAGCCTAGCAAAGTTTGTGGAGCTTGAGAGTCGCTTCGTGGATCGGCTTCTCAGTTTTGCTTTTCTGCCGCAGGAGTTCATTTGCATCCCAAGCTGGAAAAGGGCTCTGACAAGGCGCATCACTCAATCCGTACTGATACAGACTCTAGCGCACATTGGGCTTACAGTCAACAGTCATATCATACTGTATCCATCTTGTTTGTTTCCATGCTGCTGTTGCAAAACCAAAGATATGCCCATGGATCTCCTGCTGAATGACAAACACGAAGAAGAAGAAGAAGAAGAAGAAGAAGAGGAAAAGGAAGAACAAGAAGAAGAGGAAGAAGAAGAAGAAGAAGATGGTTGAAGAAGAAGAATATTAAGAAGAGGGAGGAAGAGCAAGAGCAACTAACACAAGGAAAACTGTTTGTTGTTGCAACCTGTGTGTGGCTTTTCAATCTTTTCAGAACATCATCAGCAATATAATGAACTCGCACGCTTTGCATCTGCAATTTTGCTTCTTTGAGCTTTCAGGCGAGTCCCTGAATGGAGCTTGCCGGGCGCTAACCACATAGCAAAGCTGTCTGGCTATGCTACACAAGATCCCATGGGGGGCCCCAAGAATTCATCAGTAGATGTCAATAGGTTTACTTCATCAGTAGACAGATTTGGAAAGAAACAATACCGAGAACGAAATAAAGTCAACTCTTGAAATTTCTTGACGCTCAACTAACTCAGATCCTCTGCCCGCTATTGTTTTGCTGAAAGTCCGCCGTTGCCGCTTCACGGATACCACAGCGGTCCTTCAAAGCTTGGTTTAATTTATTCAGACTTTGTCTGAAGATTCTAGTGAAACTTGATGGTGTGTCCAGTTGGCATGTCTAGGCATTGACTAGCTCAATGTAACATTTATGTCATGTCGTTGAGGACAATTGGATGAACGTCTTCTGTGACCAGAGTTGCTGAAGGCTCATTCTTTGCTGGATAGTGATATGCTCTCTTTATGTTGCTATGCGCGGATCATAAAAACACTGGGATTCACTCACATTATTCAATGGCCACTAACCATTGACAGATCTGCACTCTGACAAGCGGCACCATACGCAAACCGCTTTTGCGCTGGCGAATCAAGGCTTCCTGACGACTGCGAATGAGGACTAAAGCTCTCCACTTGTTGCATTCTGCAGCAAAGAACATCTTGCCCAAAATACATACTACTGAAAAATTGGACCTGCATACATACCTACACATACCTGTATCTGTACTTTCAAAGTGCTCCACAGAAATGGTGGTCGCAAGCTGCAATGCCTCTTCTTCCTCTTCTCCTTTTTCCTTTTCTCCTGTGCCAAAAGCTCTGATTTCACGAATGATCCAATCAGCCATGCAACAAAAGCAAAACTACCAAGTACCTGCAGTACAGATTCCGTCCTCTTTGTCCTCTTGATTTTCCTTGCTATCTCTTTCTTTTGCACCATCACCATCTCTGCGCTTGCTCTCTTTGGCCTCCACTTGCTTTGGTGTATGGCCCTTCTCTTCCTTCGAGTCCTTCTCCTCTTCACCCTCTGATTCGATCGTTTCTTTGAGATCTTCTGGAGCTAAAGGTACCTTTGCAGAAGAGTGATCTGGACATGGCAGGCTCCAAAGCGAAAGGCTCGGAAAGGCTACTGGACCCACAAACCCAGATACAATTTGCAGCAGAACTGGGCCAGGCACAACCTTGCTCCGTCTTCTACAACAGCAAATCTTTACCGCTGGCTTTGCCTGAGTTTCAGAAGGACTGGGAAGCAATTTTTTGAAGAACCGGTTCAGACGCTGCAAGAATTTGCAAGGTTGCGATTCCTTCATTTTTCGTTGTCAAGCTCTTCACCAAACGGTTCATCATGTTCATCAAAGTTGGTGAAATGCACTTAGTGCAGGTGAAGTTGCTGGTGGAGCAAGCCCGGACAAAGACTTTGTAAGTCTCCTCGGCTGCGTATGATGCGTATCCATGTGAGCTCATAATGTGCGGCACTGCTGGAGTCTTGAGAAAATCCACAGAAGCAATTGAGGCCGATGCTGTGACGAATCCGTCAAGAACTTCGAAGCCTTCAATTCGGCGCTACCCGTCACCCCTACCAAATCCTACCAATATGTTCTGGTCATGTGACACACTTTAATACTTTCCAAATAATTCCAATTGCCAACATCATCTGCAGAAAAAATATCGAGTCCCTCTAGCGACTTACACATGAGTCTTGCATGAGTCACATGCAACATAGTCCAACCGATGCGCCGTGATCTGCTACAGAGATGACAGAGTTGGTGATGCCTCATCTCTTCTCTCCTGAGGTATGCATAAGCCTTGGCCACGAGACGTGGTCAAACACGTTCAAACTGTTCTTGCAACGGCATCAAATCTAATGCCTTCAAACCTTGCATTTCCAGTCAATCACTTCATTCAACGCATGCAATAGAGAATGCCTTGCAGATATCTGGCAGCTCTTTTGAATCTCGATCCGAGTTCAGGACCGCAAAGCCATGATACAAATCGGACCTGGACCATGAAGAGCTTCCATATGATATTCACAAGGTCCTTGGATGCCATCAATTTGTCTGCTCTCGATATGCCATCAGAGTCCGCTTGCTCAGCCCACACACTGCTGATTCAGAATGCATCCAAGTGTCACCAAGGGTTGGCTCGCCAACGACAAGATGCAATGCCAATAAAAGTGGTTCGAAAACAAAGAAATTCATCATCCAACTGAAAACGAGAAGAACGAGGAATCTCTGCATTTCTGGCCTCGGCTCCATGAGTCACTTTCAGGAACAACAATATACCACTACAAACTTAACTAAGTTCAACTAAGTGTCCTGGGATGGAGACACTATCAGAAATGCACATAGATGCACACACATACCATCTCAATGCAAAATGACTACAAAATGATACAAAATGCATCTGCTAATTTCAATGCTGCTGGACTGCTGAATCTAATCAGGTCAAAGTCACACCAGTATCAAGTGAGCTTGCAGCGGACCAACAATTTCTGCTGCGGCCACTTCAGATCGCTCGTCCGGAGGGTACACAATTTCCACTTCTGTTGTGTCAGTGCGGGAAACCTCGTACCTGAGCTGCATCCAGAGACAAGCCGCACGCTTCAAGCTGCACTCAAGGTTTTGCAGGCAGCTTCAATGCAGCTGAGATTCATGTATATCGAAGACGAGAAAAAGAACATGTAGTAGGCAAGGGCCCATGCCAATACAAACAGCAGAAGAGCCTCACCACGCTTTGGAAATTGTCTGTCACCCTCACAACAGTGGCTGCGCTTCAATTTCAACAGTGTGCTCTAGTAGCACCGTATCAGTTGAATGTTGTTTTCATGTTTCCAAGTGTTTTCAAACTTGAGTCATCTTGAGTCTGCTGTTGCAACCATGCAACTGCGCAAATAGGTACCACAGAGGGCTGCCAATGCAGCGGCAACAAGGGGCGGCGCTTTAGCCGCGGGCAGCATGAGCAACAGCATATCATTGCCGTCAAACCACAGAATAGGTTCCAAACTCTGGCCTGCAAGGATTCCAAACAGCCAAAGTCATTGGGCACAACAAAGCTGCGACAAGAACTCCCATCAAAATCGAAGTCATGGATCGCTGCTATCACCCGTGATTAATCTGTTTGGGAAAGTTTGGGAAACATGTTCACTTGTCACTTGCAAATGCTTTTTACAGTCGAACCTTGGCTTCTTGCGGTGCCATGATCACAGAAGGCCAGGGACCCAAGAAGTGGCGCGTGAAAGCTCTCTCCCGTGCTGCAGCTGTCAACTCCTCCAAAAAACGCTCAACTAGTCAGTAACATTCAGTAACTACCGGTAACTGCTTGAAACATCTCGACAACCATCTGAGACCCAGCACTCAGTCTCGGATGAAGCTCTACGTGAATGATTCAATGCTCTTATGGCTTCAACTTGGAAGAGCACACAGCACAACTACATACAACTACAGACCACAACTACATACAACTACAATATACTACAATTACATAGCACAAGTCCTGCGTCCGCACTGCAAAACTGCGTCCCCGGCAAATGGTCTGCACCACTGCACTCACGAGCACTGCGCACAGAGCTGCCAGCGCCACGTCCAGCAGCTGTGAGGCTTGCAGCAAGCATCCAGCCGCTGCCAGAGTAAACCTGCTGCTGCTACAGTCGAAACAGATCATTGTTAATGTCTGTCAATGTTCTGATCAGAGTCGTGGATTGCTACTTTAATTCTCACTTTCTGATATGCATTTATGCAATTTAGACTTTAGAATCTTTAGAATATCTTCCAAAGCACTTGAAATGACTCTATATGACTCTTAGCTTCTGGTTGGCGTCTTGCCAAGTATGAGAATTCCCCTTCAGCGGGACGCAGGCTGTATGGGCTGTGCTGACTGTGCCAAGCTGCTCATTCCCAGCTCCCGGACAGAAAGGATCCTGATACGGTCTCCGATCAATGCCACCACCTCGTTTCAGATGTCGTTTCCGATTTCGACACTTTGTGACTTCGCAAGCTGCAGGTCTGTCGGAAAAACATGGAAAAACCCAAAAAAAGCAGTGGCAAGTCCAAAGGCAGCAAAGTGCAACAAAGTGCGCTCCAAAGTGCAACAAAGTGCGCTCCAAAGTGCAACTGCGGTCAAGGCACCAAGGACCAAGGCCAAAGAAACGGCTTGGATCCACAGGCTGAAATGAAAAACCGCTGCACGTTCTGGGGCACTGAAGCTCCAGGTCTGAGAATCATCTGACAATGAGATGATCCTCAGAGACAGGAACTCATGGCAATTGATGGAACCTAAATAGTGTAAACATGTGTAAACAATGATCTAAACCTGGCCTGTCATGGCCTATGGATTCGAATTTCCTCTGGTGGGCCTTATTTCTAACTTCTTCAATGTCCAAGACACTTGTGATGTATCTGGCAATTTCGCCAAACGCTTTTCCGCGTGCAGCGCTGGCTGGCCAACACCGCCGCATCGTGCATATAGTTCACGACCCTGGGGGTGTTGATTCGTATCATCCAAAAGAGCTCAAAAGCAATGAAAGTCGTCAAGGGGCTGTGGAACTGCAGAGTCAATTTTCAGGCATTTCTAACTATGTCCTGTAGTTCTTATAGCCCACGTAAGAAAAATCTGAAGTACTCCTGCTAATGTGATGCCCTTCCTTTGTGCTCAAGGCGCCTCTCTTTTAATGGCTGCTTGACCAAAATCATGGCTTCTGGCTGAAAAGCTTCCTTCACTGTCCCAAAGATCTCGGGTTTGTCATATTTAGTAGTGGAGCGCAGAAAGTACTTGACAACATGTGAAAACATGCAACATGCAACGAAATGCAGCTGTTAAACGTTCCACAAGGCATCTCCTCATGAGCTGCTTCTCGCAGAGACAAAGTCTGAGGTGAAGGAGCACCTGACAAAGTAACCCCCATTGTTTTGGAATAGCTGTGACAATCATCGAACCCTTTTGAAAAAAGGTTCAAATCGATGTTCTTAAAACTTGATACAACAGTCTGGCCACTCCAACAGCTTCTGTAGAAGCTCTACCTACCAGGATGACACGTCTACGTCGACCAAGTCTGTACTCGAGGGGATCGGAGCATGTTGCCGTGGTGAGACGCGTCTGAGAAAATGTTGATGCACAGTTGGGATGCCACACCTGAAAGCGGCGGGGGCACTGCAGCAATGGACGGAGCTTCTTTCTTCAAAGAGCTAGTCACGATGTGGGTGCTCACAGTTGGCGTCACGGGACCTGCACAACCAGTGTTTGTCAGCACGCATCTGGATTGTGTCGTCTGTTTGATGTGTCTCTCTCTAGTCGGTCTCTGTGTCTCCTTAGTCTAATTCAAAATCTTTCAGTTGTCCCTTCCCGCCTGGCTGCGACATCGCTGGCCGCACCACGTCATCCTCTACATCCCCCAAGCCCTGAGCCTGGCATCACAGTCGCTTTCACCAGAGAATTTGTTGTTTTTATTTGTTTTTCACCATTTTTCACCTGGTCTGTTCCATTTTGTTTCCATTCTGTTCCCGTGTCTTATCTTGCCGCTAGCCCCATGGCACCGCCTGGAAGATTGTGGCTAAGCCATCTTTTGCCTGCCAAAAAAGCTCAAGGACAAAAAGCAGAAACGGCTCTGCGCGATTTTTGCAATGTTCTACAATGTTCTACAATGTTCTACAATGTTCTACAATGTTCTACAATGTTCTACCATGTTCTACAATGTTCTACAATGCTCTACAATGTTCTACAGTTCTACAATGTTCTACATGTTTTATCATGTTTTTACATCTATAATATATTTCAATCCTACACCATCCCATCGCCGAAGTGTACTGAGTTTGGGACGTGGCGAAAATCCAGCGAAGTGCTCAGGGAGCTCAGGGTGTTTGTCATTGGACTCTGCTGAAGACCTGATCTTCAGTGCTCTGGATGGACCCATGACTGATGCTGAGTCGCTAAAATTATGCTAAATGTCATGAACCAACTGTAACTAACTTGCAAATGGTTTTTTAAAACAAAGTGAGTACCAATTGATTGATTGAGTTGCAATATGTTAATATATTCTCATATATTCTCATATATTCTCATATATTCTCATATATTCTCATATATTCTCATATACATTAAACAATATAAATCTGAGATCCAGGCTTTGAGCCTGCAACAGGGCAGCCTCTGCCTCTGCCGCCACCACTGCAGCACTCAATTCGCCTTTGCAGGTTCAAGTTGTGCAAAGAATGCAGAGTTCACAAACAATAAAGGCTGACATCACGAAAGAAAAGGCTTCTAGCACCAAGAAAGCCTTGAATCAGGTACTTGTGGCATCTTGATATACTTGAGTCTGCCAAATTCTACCCTTGTACTGTTTTCTATGAGCCGGATTAAGATGATTAATTAAGTAACTAGGACATGCTCAGGACCCGCTTAGGACACACTCTTCAAAACTATTCTTCCGAACTCTCCGCCTTGTGCACGAATCTCATCTGCACGCCGCTTGATGAAGTCCTGTCGGAGTCAGTGGTGAGCAACTTCAGCCTGCCTTTTGTGGTTAGTTCAGCATGTTGCAATCCTCAGAGTGGTTCGCAAAAGTCTTTGAACAACTTTGGACGCTTTTCATGATTTTGTGAAGATCATGTTCGACAATTTTGACAATGCAACCAAGAATTCCTGCCTTCTCCATGTCGTCAAGCTGCTTCACTTCTACTTGGACCCCTTTCATACGCGAAGCATGCATGGCCACCCAGCGAGCTTGCATGCGCCATCGCACCTTGGGCAGAAAGATTGTAGCATATCAATGCATATCATATTATTAAATATTATTAAATCACATATTGTAACATGGAAACTTGAAAGCAACTGGCACCGCAAAATGATGACAGGTCGAGAACGATTTGGGGCCACGCGCCTCAGCATAAGCTGCGACTGCCAAATGTATCAAAGCCAGGACGATGAAGGCGAAAACGATGGCCAGGCCGCGTAAATTATATCTGTTGACCTGCCAAAGATTGAAACTATCAAAAGTGAGAGTAAGAAGGGCACGGTAAGCTGATGTAAGCTGTGACATTGCAACAAAGAAAAGAAATTGTGACAAATAATGTGATTGTGAGGGTATCTCAACGATTGCATTTCCAGTATCGGATTATCTCGGATTATCGGGATGTTGACTACCCAAGGTGTTCTGTTAATCCCAAGAGTCCACAGAAGATTTTGCTACGCCTTGTCGTACCACGACACAGCGTATTCTCTTGTCCGGATTGTCACTTGAGGCGGAAAGGGCGTCATCTCTGGCCTCCGGAAAGTTCCAAACGTGTGTGCATGTTTGTCACAATGGCATTGAAACCTATTTGGTTTAGGATGCATTTGTTCTAGTCCATTTTGTGCCAAAACCACATGCTGGCAAATACTAAAGTGATTTGTCCGAAACCTCTTCTCTGCGATGGCCATAGCCGAATGGTGGGCCCAACTCTCACACTCCTCAACTGGAAAGAAATTGAACCCGGCAAGATTTGATCAGATTTGCAGTCAACTGAGACAAGCAAACAAGATATAACAAGTAGTGAGCTGACTGCAGCCATGGCTCACAAAGCAGTTCAAAATGCCCTGACTGCAGCAGCGGCCAGCGGCGGCCTCTTTCAATTCTGTGTTTGATTATCATCCTGGCCCCCCACACCGGTCTCGTCCCTCAAGTCCCACTCCCTCCAGTCCCTCCAGTCCCTTGCCTGGCTCCGCTACCAACGTGCAGCCCAGTGCAGGGACAAAGCGTCGAAGAGACTCAGACCAGGCAACGCATTCCAACTCTGAAGGATCGAGGCCTGCAGTTCCAGTCATGTCTCAACAATTTTCATGGGAATCTTAGGGCATGTTGATACACATGTATATTGTAATAGACATCTTATGATTGATATTATATGTATATAGTATGTATGTAATTGTGTAATATATGTATGAAAATATCATAGATTATATCACAATGCTTTTCATCAGTCCACAAAACAATCTCTCTTGTCAAACTCTTCCAGACTGATTGAGCTTGGGCTGTTTATGTGACCTTACCTGTATATACTTGTATACTGTATGCCGTCAGAGTCGCCACAGTCGCCAGTTGGCAGGCAGTCAACCTCAGGACCTGGGTCATAGCGATCAAATCATAAGCATAACTGAAGAGTTGAAGGATGAATGTCATACGTTAAGTCATACGCTTCAAACGAAAAACAACATGAATATAAGATATTATAAGATAATATAAGGATCTCTCCCACCCCAACATCCTACTTCTCCTTGGTTTAGATAATAGTAGCTAAAATAGTAGGCCTCGGTAGGTGAAAGGATTGACATTTACTAGTTCAGCCGCGCTGCACAACAATGACTCCAGGTCTTGTGTGCTTGTGGTGGTGCGCGTCATTGTTGAAGTAGTGGGCAATGGTGCTACCCAACCTGGTCCGCCAGCAGAATCTGCCCAAAAGCTTTCGTTCCACCATGATGGAACTCCTCTGTCCAAAGCTTCCAGCACGCTGTGCAGCGGTCTCAAGCCAGTGTCGTCAACAATTTTCAGAGCTGCTGGATCTAAGGCAATGAAAATACGGCTCAAGTTCTGCGCCGGTGCCAATTTTGGGACCTGGCAATCGTCCAAGGCCAAAGTGGCTCTGGCTTTGAACTCTCCAATGTTAGCTGGAACATATTATATGCTGAAATGCCCCAACAAACAGTGGAAGATAAGAATATGGATAGATCAATAGATCATCATAAAATCAGCCGCTGCAAAAAAAAATGGAGGAATCCGGCCTGGCACCAGGCGCTCAGCAAGTTGCCTCCCTCAAGACCTCTATCTGCCCACAGAGAATCAACGACATCTCGTGCTGCAACGCCGTTGTAGTTCTCAAGATCAAATGCAAGAGCACGGGAAAACACCTCTCAGCGAGAATCATCCAAACACTTGGAGTTGGCCATGCAAACTGGCAAAAATTGTTGGGTAGAACAAATCCAACAAATACATGCAAATATATTCGATGAATACCTACAAATGCCGTGCTTCACCAAAAAGAAAAGGATCAAACTGCATTTAAGCCAATCCGGATCATATCCCCACACCTCCAGAGGATCCGAGAAGGCAAGTTCAAGAGCTCCAAGCAACAAACCAGAAGAATGCAGCGGTGTAGGAAATTGCTTCACCAGTCTGGTTGAAGTGCTGGTTGTGGCAGTCGTCGAGGTGCTAGTCATGGTGGTGCTGATCGTTGCGGTAGTGGTTTTGGTCAGCCAGTCTCTCAGCACATGACTCGAGTTGGAGAGTTTGTGGAGCTCTTGCCAGGAGCTCACCCAAAGGCTAAAAATCTCCGACATGGCCCAAACAAAGAATGTTGATCGCCTGCCAAAGGGAGCAACGTGGAGCAACGTGGAGCAACGTGGAGCAACCAGTCAACCAAATGGAAGTTACGTAAAGTTCAACATCCAGAATGGCGAATAAAAAGGTGCTTGTGTCAAAGCTCTCCCTTATGTGCTGCCGAGTCTCTCAGGCACTGTAAGGATTAGTCTACCAGCACCGGTGGAGCGAAAAGCCAAAGGGGAACTTCCGTTCAAGGAGAACTGCACAGAAAACACATCAACCAGAAGAACACCCTCCGTGTCCGAAAGCTCCACATCAGCGTAGAAAGGCAAAGCGCTTTCCGAGTCCACACCGCTGGGGCACCACGTGTCTTTCTGGGCTGGATCCGCGTCAGCTCTGGTGCACCATGGGGGGGTTGTAGTCGAAAGGGTCATTGTGGTCGTGCCGTTGAAGGCCTGAATCTAGACAGAAGCTCATGGGCATCGGGGAATGGCTTTGTGCAAGCCACACATGGTAACATCACAAAAAACAAAAGCTTGCATACCTCCTTTGTGTGTGTGTGTACACTGCTATTCACATGCAGAAAACTACAACTGGACATTTGATGACTATGCACGTTATGTTTTCCGAATTCATGCGCCAAAGACTATGCACGTTATGTTTTCCGAATTCATGCGCCAAAGACTACTTAACAGCAGGGGGCTGCAGGGAATGTCATAGTTCTGCAGCCAACGAAGACGGCTATGACATTCTGTGATATCGATCCGGGACGCTGGATCGACGTACCTGCCTAATCATGTCTTTCCTTTTCCGCGATGGGATGTGGCTAACCCAAGAACCACCTTGCTGATTAATGATTTGGACCTGGTTTCACCTGTTTATCAAGGATGATGGACTCAGGAATTCTACCAGGCATGTACAACCACATCGTCATTGCAGTTCACTTCCAAAAATCAACAGTGTGCATTAGTCATGTGTCCTATACAGACCATGACCTCATCATCCCTAATGGGGAAGAACAATCTTGGCATAGTGTGCCGAATCCGCCCTCTACGGAGGCAGAAGTTGAGCGAGTAGCCATAGGGGCTGCTAGAAGTGATGGCAATAGCCGAAGGGGGGTCAAGGACAATTGAAGGGTGGCATAAGCCGAAGGAGTGCCCAACGGGCGAATGGTGCCCATAGGGCGAAGGTGGCCATGTGCCGAAGGATTTTATTGGCCGGGAACCCTACTTCTTACTGTCATTTTATGAGTATCACAAAAGTGTGCGGACACACATAGTTTGTGATGCTCAAACCAAGCAGAATGTCAAACACGGTAGGGACCTTATCGCTGCAGATGTGTGTACGATCTTGATTCATGTTTTCGATCATGCGCAAGTTGACACATGATTTTGATGCGTTTTCAATCTGGGTAATGCATTCCCTTGGCTCATAGCAAGCTCTTTGACATGTTAAGTCAATTTGTTGCTTTTCATTTCTACATGTCATTCGTCATAACACACCATGCGCTAAATGTACTGACAATTCTTGAACAACTCATTTCTTCTTTCGTGTTCAGCAGACTTTTTCGCGATATGGAACTCCATGCAAGAAGCAAAGCTGCCAATGGACCGCCGTTGAGTGCTACCGTTGCGTATCTTCCGTCACAACCGATGGTATCACTGTCTTCACCGTGTGCAGCAGCTCCATTTGTACCACGGGCGACACCTGCATTTTCACCATTTCCCGGACATGCACCAGTTCTACAGACTCCGCCCGGTCCCCTTCCTTCACCTCCCCCCTCACATCCTTCACGTACAGTTGAACATGGACCTCACCAAGCAACCCCCAAGATACAACCTATCGCGGAGTCCTCAGCAAAATCAGGAGTATCACCGGTTCCCATCACGTTGCCAGCTGAACATGCGGAAAGACGTACGCCTACTTCACCATCCGGATTATCGTTGACTGTCAAAGGCATTGTAGGAGAATATAGATTGGAAGCTCAGAGTATTGATCATGCAGGACCCATAGTGTATCTCATGGATCGCATCATGACAGTGGAATCCAATTTGGCACAACAACGTCTTCAAGATCAACAGTTTTGGACACAAATGGACCAGACAACAATTGACACCGTTTGACTGAAAAGAAGCCGTCGTAGCTGCATTTTGGTTTTGTGCTTTTCATTCCAATTGCAACTTTGCAACTGTTCAAACGTTTTCTGCAACATCCCACCCAAAACGCCTGGCTCGCAGTGTGATATTTGTTTTCCGTAATTGATTATATTCAGTTCTCCAGCTTAGTTTACGTCCGTTGTTCTACTCTATATGGTTCACGGTACTGCAACACACTGGCTTAAGTGTTATATAACTGTGATTTAATCAATCCATTTACTGTTTTCATCACTGCGTTCTATCTCAACCACCTGACCTACGTGTTCTACGCGTCGGAATCTCAGTTTTTGGCGAATTCTGCCCTTCGTCCATAGACAACTAATCAACGTTCATTTTAAACGGATTTGTGGAAGAACAAGAATACAATCGATTTGTGTCCATTTCATTTCGTGGTATCCATGTTTCAATTGAAGTGCAGTTATCTTCACTTTTTAACACTCCAAAGTTATACTGTCCTTGCTCTATTTGTTCCACGCGTCGGCAACCCAGAAGTGTCACCTTCCTTATGAAGACATATGGATATATGTGTATACCGCTCTCCACACGCAAAGTGTTGCGCAATCTGCAACAAACAATTGATGTTCGTGAGGGACAAGGGCACGATAACTTTGGATTGCAACATATTCAATTATTTCGCTAATACAAACTTTGGATTGCATCATATTCAATCATTTCGCCAATAACAATTAACACCTTTTAATCTAACCATGTCCTTTCCATTTCGACTTTATTTATCGCGATTTCTTCGATCTACGTGGTCTACTTGCTCTACACGCAGTCTTTCAGAATTTGCCTTCCATGTGAAGGGGGTGCCCAACGGGCGAATGGTGCCCATAGGGCGAAGGTGGCCATGTGCCGAAGGATTTTATTGGCCGGGAACCCTACTTCTTACTGTCATTTTATGAGTTTTCACCTTCTCTTTCAAATCAATTTACAATTGTGAGGACAAGAGATCAATTTGAAGAGATCTAGAATATAGGAAGACCTATCACAAAAGTGTGCGGACACACATAGTTTGTGATGCTCAAACCAAGCAGAATGTCAAACACGGTAGGGACCTTATCGCTGCAGATGTGTGTACGATCTTGATTCATGTTTTCGATCATGCGCAAGTTGATACATGATTTTGATGCGTTTTCAATCTGGGTAATGCATTCCCTTGGCTCATAGCAAGCTCTTTGACATGTTAAGTCAATTTGTTGCTTTTCATTTCTACACGTCATTCGTCATAACACACCATGCGCTAAATGTACTGACAATTCTTGAACAACTCATTTCTTCTTTCGTGTTCAGCAGACTTTTTCGCGATATGGAACTCCATGCAAGAAGCAAAGCTGCCAATGGACCGCCGTTGAGTGCTACCGTTGCGTATCTTCCGTCACAACCGATGGTATCACTGTCTTCACCGTGTGCAGCAGCTCCATTTGTACCACGGGCGACACCTGCATTTTCACCATTTCCCGGACATGCACCAGTTCTACAGACTCCGCCCGGTCCCCTTCCTTCACCTCCCCCCTCACATCCTTCACGTACAGTTGAACATGGACCTCACCAAGCAACCCCCAAGATATAACCTATCGCGGAGTCCTCAGCAAAATCAGGAGTATCACCGGTTCCCATCACGTTGCCAGCTGAACATGCGGAAAGACGTACGCCTACTTCACCATCCGGATTATCGTTGACTGTCAAAGGCATTGTAGGAGAATATAGATTGGAAGCTCAGAGTGTTGATCATGCAGGACCCATAGTGTATCTCATGGATCGCATCATGACAGTGGAATCCAATTTGGCACAACAACGTCTTCAAGATCAACAGTTTTGGACACAAATGGACCAGACAACAATTGACACCGTTTGACTGAAAAGAAGCCGTCGTAGCTGCATTTTGGTTTTGTGCTTTTCATTCCAATTGCAACTTTGCAACTGTTCAAACGTTTTCTGCAACATCCCACCCAAAACGCCTGGCTCGCAGTGTGATATTTGTTTTCCGTAATGGATTATATTCAGTTCTCCAGCTTAGTTTACGTCCGTTGTTCTACTCTATATGGCTCACGGTACTGCAACACACTGGCTTAAGTGTTATATAACTGTGATTTAATCAATCCATTTACTGTTTTCATCACTGCGTTCTATCTCAACCACCTGACCTACGTGTTCTACGCGTCGGAATCTCAGTTTTTGGCGAATTCTGCCCTTCGTCCATAGACAACTAATAAACGTTCATTTTAAACGGATTTGTGGAAGAACAAGAATACAATCGATTTGTGTCCATTTCATTTCGTGGTATCCATGTTTCAATTGAAGTGCAGTTATCTTCACTTTTTAACACTCCAAAGTTATACTGTCCTTGCTCTATTTGTTCCACGCGTCGGCAACCCAGAAGTGTCACCTTCCTTATGAAGACATATGGATATATGTGTATACCGCTCTCCACACGCAAAGTGTTGCGCAATCTGCAACAAACAATTGATGTTCGTGAGGGACAAGGGCACGATAACTTTGGATTGCATCATATTCAATTATTTCGCTAATACAAACTTTGGATTGTATCATTTTCAATCATTTCGCCAATAACAATTAACACCTTTTAATCTAACCATGTCCTTTCCATTTCGACTTTATTTATCGCGATTTCTTTGATCTACGTGGTCTACTTGCTCTACACGCCGCTACCTCAGAGTGCCTTCTTTGGAAAGACCTGTCCATGAAGATGCAGGTGCGTATACACCTAATCCCAAGCATGAATTTCATTTTCGAATGAGTTCAACGTTGCTTATATTGACGTGATCTGCTTGCTTCATTAGGCAGTCTTTCAGAATTTGCCTTCCATGTGAAGGCCTTTGTGTGTGTGTGTACACTGCTATTCACATGCAGAAAACTACAACTGGACATTTGATGACTATGCACGTTATGTTTTCCGAATTCATGCGCCAAAGACTATGCACGTTATGTTTTCCGAATTCATGCGCCAAAGACTACTTAACAGCAGGGGGCTGCAGGGAATGTCATAGTTCTGCAGCCAACGAAGACGGCTATGACATTCTGTGATATCGATCCGGGACGCTGGATCGACGTACCTGCCTAATCATGTCTTTCCTTTTCCGCGATGGGATGTGGCTAACCCAAGAACCACCTTGCTGATTAATGATTTGGACCTGGTTTCACCTGTTTATCAAGGATGATGGACTCAGGAATTCTACCAGGCGTGTACAACCACATCGTCATTGCAGTTCACTTCCAAAAAATCAACAGTGTGTGCGTTTTACTTGGAAATAAAAACTGTTCTACGCGTTGGCATTTCATTCAACTCAAAGGGCGACACAAAAAATCAAACGAAGAGATGAGTGAATCATTGCTTCAGCCGTCACACCCTATGTCAGCCTCAACTTGTTTTTCATCAGGTAAGTTGAGGCGATGCAATTTCGCATACTCACCATGTCGGCACCTCTGTTGTGCTGGACGTGCTACGCGTGATACTTGAGGTAAAAGAAATGCTGGTTGAGCTGGAGCTATGTGTCACCGACACGCTTGTAGAGGTACCTCACCGTGGTGTGCAATGGAAAAAAAGTGAACCCCATGTTTTCACAGCTCGGAGTGAATCGTGTTTTCAAAGGTGAGGGCAGTTCCTTTGGAAATGAACTTCTCATGCGTTCATTGAATCAATGGAACTCCCACTCTTCGTGGAAGAAAGCACAACAACCAAAGACCGTCCCTCTCTCGAGGTTCATCCGCAAGACATCGCCAGAGACTCCCATGTTTGTTGCTGGCAAATTGTCTTCAACTTGGTGGACCTAGAGATCTTGAAACATCTTGAAACATCTTGAAACAACTTTCACGCATTGCCGAGATTCTGGAGTGCAAAATTCCAGTGGAAGTGATTGTGATAGTGCTACTTGACGTGTATGTCGCAGATGTGGTGCTTGTTGAGCTGGTAGTGCCTCGCCGACCAAGGACAAGACGGTGATCCAGATTTTTTTGGCGCTGAGAGGAAAAGGTGTGCAAGAACCAAAAACAGCAACGAACCCCCCCTTAGGCCGGACAGAAGTTAACATAGCTGACTAAGAACAAGAGAGCTAAACAGCGGCTCAAGACCATGTCCAGGAATATCTCCGGGTGCAAACAAAGCGCTTACCGATGATTTTGTCGAGCTTGTGCTTGTTGACCTTGGTCAAACAGAAAGGGATCGGGATTTAAAACAAACTATTTATGAATCCAGGAATTTGGGATTCATGTGACACTGCAAAGCATGCAGATTGATCAGGATAAAGAGATCTTGAGAGCACATGAGGGAAAGAGTGCATAAAAATAAAGGAGGTACAGAATTGTATTCGAAAAAACACAAAATGGAATGGACGGTTGAAGAATTAGCTTCTTCATCAGTTTTGAATGACTCAGTTGAACCCATTCCGACTTAAAGAGGCTCATTCTTCCGCTTCAAAGCTCTCCCTAGTATTCCTGCACGGTCTTTGTCGTCTTCAAAGCCATTTCGCTTCCAGATCTCATGCCCAGCTGATGGTTTGATCTTCAGTTGTTTATGGTATCTGGATGATTCTATGGTTCGTTGATGTTCGTTGTGGTTCCATCGACATGACTCTTTCAACATCTGAGGCATCGTCATGGTTGGCACAACAGATGGGTCTGCCAAGACCTGCCACGGCCAGAAGCCATGAATGGCCCATGAATGGCCGACACTAAGACATCGCATTAGAATCATTAGAATCATTAGAATACAATCCATCAATGAATATAATGAATTATTAAACAATATTTAAACAATATTTAAACAATATTTAAACAATATTTAAACAATATTTAAACAATATTTAAACAACATCAACATCCAAAGATTTCCAATGGATCCAATGTGCCTCTTCTGCAGCTTCCAGGAGAAGGTTTGCAAAGGTTTGCCAGGACTGTGCCTTTGCCGCGCCGCTTATGCAGGACGACTGTGGGAATGGGGAAGATGGCACAAGAGCTAAACTCTCGTAAAAGTCTTCGGCACCTTGCAGCAATAGATTCAAGTAAGTTAAAGTCACTGAAAAGTTTTAGTGGTCAAATCAAAACAACTCAAATACTTGCAGGAAAATGTGTAGCTACAGCTGTTCAAAAGAGCGATTCAAGCAGTGTATTTGTTGTGTTGGTATGTAGGTATAGTATGGTATAGTATTGTGCCAGCAGCGTGTGTATCAAGGCCACGACTGAGCTCTGTTTTGCCCGTGCAAGGGTAAAAACCGTCCGGCACCAGGCATCAGCATAGTAGCCATCTGCAGAAGAAAACTCAGAACACTTTGAATGTTTAGCCATGTTTAACCATGTTTAACCATGTTTAACCACGTTTAGCCATGTTTAGCCATGTTTAGCCATGTTTAGCCCATATGACAAATGTCAAGAAATGTCAGGAGAGTAGGCGTACATGGAGCACAACCACGCCTTCTGGCTCTTGGAGCATCTGGCCTTCTTTCAGGATAAACCGAGGAGCGGCATTGCCTCAGTCCATTTCCATCATTTCCTACACCAAGTTGGGAGGGTACTGCACAGGTTTTCTCCTCTTTGAAAGCTTGCACTTTGTTCAGTGTATAATGATATATATATATATACATTCCAATCTGTTCGATTTATTAGGTTGTTCAGAGCCAGCTTTGTAAAAAAAGTGAAGGTATACAGAAATACGTAGAGGAAAGTTGAACAAATCTGAAGGCAACTGCAATTTCAATCCTCTTTTACGCTCAAGGTCTGGAATTCCCCTTTGGCACTTTCACTGAGAAATATGAAAGATTCAGAAAGGCCCGTACCTTGGCTGTCACAAGCACGAGCAACCTTCATCAGAGAGGGTGTATGAAAGCAGAAACCACACAGTTCCATGATGTTCCATGGCTTGAAATGACTACTGATTACATCATATTACATCTGATTACTGTATATGATGACTTGCAATGACTTGCACTTGTTTCATCTTAACAGAGCCTTCAAGTCTCCACCTCGTAGGCGTATGTGAGTTCCAGCAAGAAGCACCTTGGGATACGAAACAAACCAGATCGAACTAGATGGAACCTTTTCAAAAGTCAAAGAAATCCGACACCAAGAGGATCCAAGAGGAAAAAGGATGAAAAAGGAAGTTCCAAAGCCAACCAAAACCGCCACCGCAAACCACCGGAAGGCAACAATGTTTGAGAAAGTGTCAAGCCCGGCCAAGGACAGCTTTGAGTGCGACACTGTCTGCCCAGTGGGTGTCCAGAAGCGTGTATCGTCTAGTAAGCTCTCAAGGCCTGAACACGGATGGTTCATCCCATTCGTGAAATACTATGAAATATGAAATACTTGTATTCCATTCAAGTATTCAAGGCTCTGAGTCTTAGAAGAGCCTTGAAGACAGAACCCAAGCATTTCCGTTTGCCAGAGAGGGTAATGCCGGGTAATGCCATGGATGCAACAAATGATGACACATGATCAATACTTGATACTTGCTTCGCTTGACCGCTTGTACACTCTGATCTTCCTCCAGAGCCGATCTTTAGGCCTTGCCATCTTTGTACAACTCATTACAACTGACCATACTACTAGATACTACTAGTAGGTAGATTTATGTAAGAACTCTACTAAACCAATCTAAACCACCATGCGCGCACGTTCTTTCCTTTGTCCTCAAGACATGTTGTGCTCCGAAGGGACCAGCCAAAGTTGAATGAAATGGACCCAAAGTCACATTGATTCACATTGCAATGCAATGAAAACAAGACTACATTTTAACCTTGACAAAAGGCATCAGCATTAGTATACACCAATAATTCGTTGAGGATGACCCTTGTATTTCTGGAAGAATACAAGTTCTGTACTACAAAAGTAAGCGATCTCGTGTGTATTTGGCTTTTCCCCTTCCGGCTGCCTTGCTCAAAAGGTGCCTGTTTGCCGACGATCTCTACAACAGAACCCGCCTGGCAGCCCACGCGAAATTTGCACACGTGCTGCATGTCTCATTCAAAAACATTGCGAATTGACAACCTGCGAAAAGGAGAAAGTAGTCTGAGATAGTCTGAGTAAGACAACCAAAAATCAAAACTGCTACAACTCCCAATGCAATCGCCTGTGTTTCAGCAGGTGCACTCAATGCAAGAACTCTTGGACTCTCAGCTGTAACACGCCGAGCTTGGACCTGGAAGACACCGAAGACACTGCGTTGCTTGTTGCGCCACCGAGCATAGCTGAGTTTTTGGTCTCAGTGCTTGGCCAATCCAGACGATGCCGAAGTTGGACAGGACAAAGATGCAAAGGTTCCTAGCACCGAGATGCGACCTTGATATGAACAAGCACAAGATATCACAAGATATCACAAAATGTCCCATTTGGACTTTCATTCTCTGTCCTGGTCTGGTCGTATCGTTCGAGGCGTTGCAGCACAGCAGCAGTAAATCCTGCATCTCTTTTGGAACTTGAAGCTTGTCACCAGGTGGATATCTAATATCTATTATAATCTATCATAATCTATTAATCTATTAATAAGTTATAATCATAACCTATTATATATATATAATTATAATCTATTAATATCTATTATACAAGTAGCAGAATGTAGCATGACCCATTTTATGTGTTGCTTATCTTTGACTAGGGTCTCCCCCAAGATTCAGCGTTCCAGCATGAAGAACTTGGCCTCTGCAGGTCTTTGCTGAGAGCAGCTTGGTTTCTCGGGAACCTGGGCGATCGAATCAGAGGGCTTGGCTTCTGGAGCTCAATGCCATTCAATGACGCTACATTCGCCACATCGGCAATGATTGCAGGCTAAGGGTGAAGAGTCTTGCCGTGTTTGACACGTGGCAGCCTGGAATTAAGGAGCACCATTCTAGTCCAAAGCATTATAAAGCAGCTTGCAAGTTCGCAAGGATTTGCTGGGTGCATCTGGGCGCAATGTTTGATGGCATTTGAAGAGTTCGGTGGACTCTGATAGGTTGCTCGGAACTTCAAGTCAATTGCATCGTCATTGGCATCGTCATTGGCATGTCAGACATGCAGCTGTCCCCGTTCCTCCAGCATCTTTCAGACGGATCCCTTCCCAAACACAACCAACAAGCCCAGGCAACCCAGGCCAAGTTACACGAGCAACCCAAAACCTGAACCCTCACACCCTGGAGATTCTACGCTGGTTCTATGTGATTGTGGCAGTCTGATACAACCTTTCGCCATTGCTGAGGCATCCAGCCATAAACCGGTAGCGCAGCTTGGTCAAATTGTACTGCTGAGACTCCAAAAGACGCAGCTGAACCTCAGAAAACACAGCCACAGAAAGAATGCAATCTGATGTTTCACATAGATGTTCAGAGGCGCTTTACAGGTTTGCCAAGACTTGAAAGCATAGCAACGCCCTGGGCCATGCACCACATCGCTGTGCACCTTGATTGATGGATCCATCTGGGAGAAAAGGCCCCGACCTGTTGCAGGTTGTTACATGTTGTCCACTGTCGTTCCATTACTGTACCCATGATACACATTCTTTCCAGTGCATTTCCAAGTACCACAACCTCCATGCGCTTTCCTGCTTTTTCATCATATTTTACCCAGTGCATCATTGCAGCCAGAGCCTGCGTAATTCCAGTGCAAAGCTCCCATAGGAACCTGACCGCCATCCGCTGAAGCTGCCAAGGAACTCACGGGATTGCCAAACCGCGGCGAACCGGCGAACCTTGAACGGCAAAATGGACGGAAGCTGCCGGGTGGAAAGAAGTTGATACAACCTCAGAGCAGAACAGACTTTGAAACTTCCAAGTGACCCACGACAAGACGACAAACTAAGACGTTCCACTGTTCTTCACCATCACCAAGTCTCAGGCGAGTCAAGTTCCACCTCCACTGTCCTTTGTTCAATCTCAATATCCGCACAATTGCACCTACTTTCGCACAGTTTCGTCAATGACCTCATTCCGCAGAACAGATTTTGGGCCAAGTTGCGTCCCAGCCGTATCTACGAAGAGCACTGCTGTCCCATTCCTGGTACTTTGCCACTTCTGGAGATGCTTTTGCTCCCCCCTTGCACTACCTTGCACTGATGTGCGAAATGGCACTGTCCTGATTTTGCCAATGGCGGCTTCAGCACCAGGAACCACTGTCCTGGGCTGCTCAGAATGAAAGGAAGCCAAGAAAAAGACAAGACTTCGCACAATAACTTCGCGCACAGAGGTGTCGAGCGGGAGACAGATTGGCATGGGTCTTGATGCACAACTCATTTGTACTGTTCTTGACGACTACCTCTAGGTTGCCCTCCCTCACAAGTAGGACAGTGGAAATTGTTGAAAATGCAAGTGTTTGCAGCAAACGTGAGAGAGACTGCGGTGGGTGCCCTTTAATGCTGAGGTAAAAATGCACAGAAAATGTGTTTCTGCACGGTCTAACAGAGACATGAAAAGCGGGGCTGGAGCTGCAGCAGGAACAGGAGGAGCAAATGATTCAGATCAGCAGGAGCTCACACGATTCCGCAGCACTGCAGAGTTGCCATTGATTCCAGATCAGAAACAAACGAAATCCCTCCCGCAGGTCTGACAGGTCTCAGATCTGACTTCTTTATAGGTCTGAGTTAATTTTACAGTCTATAGATGTCTATAGGTTGGATATATGGATGATAATGGATGATGATCACCCATCATCATGACAGTTTATTATGATCATCCATTCTGCTTTCTGATAGGTCCTTGAAAACTGGTCATTGATGTTTCCATCTGATGCTCTGTGTGGAGAAACCTCTTTCTCCAAGTTGCGGCATATCCCAATGAGCCACAACCGGCAATGAGCTCACTGCGGATGGTGCCTGTGCAGCTGACCCATCCGGGGGGCCGGTTTGCTACGGTTTGCATATGTGCTTGTGTCCAAAATGATCTGTTAATGAAATACTTTGAAAAAGAATGATTCACCAAAATTGTGAACATCTACATCATCTACATGGATTTACATAGACTAGAGTCACTAGAGACATAGACACAATGGGATAACCTTTGCAGAATTTTGGGATATTTTGGGGTAACATGTTGGATCTCTTTACAGGGCGGCCTGACCAGGCACGGCTGCTATCAGCAGGGCATCTGCCAGCAGCTGGGCCAGGTGCTTCAGTACCAACAAAACGCCCTGCTGAATCAGCTGCGTTTGCTCCGCCTGAAACAACCAAGGCTACAAGACACAGAGAAGTACCATGGTCGAAAAAATGTTGGGAAATACCACAAGAAACCATGAAATAGCTATATGAAGTCTATATGATCCATTATGATCCTAGCATTCCATGGCATTCCGATCCCATGGAGCCCATGGATAGGACGGTGATGCACAGATGCAGAAATATGGTGGGCATCTCAGGCCTTTGCCAGCGCTGCGACAACTTGGCTATCTGATGCTCCAATCTCCTGTACAGAGATTTCTCAAGAAAGGCGCACTTCCAGTCTTCCATGAGAAAACGGCCAAACGGATCCAAAAGGGGTCCAAAACGGATCCAAAAGGGATCCAAAAGGCTTAAAAACTGTCTGTCTGGGGGAATCTGTGCATCTGGAATCGCTCAGCTAGTTGAGCACCTGAAGCCATAAGGCAGCTGCAAGAGCAGGGCCAGGAGCGCTCAAATTCGAAGTGTACGCTGTGCTGTTCCTGAAAACGCAGATTTCGTCGTAAGCTCGTGCTTGATTGGACATCCTCCCAACCTATCCATAGAATGTACTTGCATTCAGGCCACCAGAAGCGCTTCAGCAACTCACGCCACAGGATGTCCTGTGAAACAGGAACAATTGAAGGGCTGCACTTGTCTTTAAGGCTCTTTGCCACTAGAATGCCACTAGTATCTTGGATTCTTGGACCATTTCGAATCTGTTTGAATCTCTGTTCGGAGCTCCTTCTCGCTTCTTGCACCCAGGGTCTCACTCAGAGGTGCTTCACCGGATCGCCTTAATGTCGTCAGAAAACTAGGGTTGCAAGAGGTGCAGTTGCCGAACCCCGAGAAATCCAAACCGCCACTGTACATTGAGGCAAGCGGCAAGCGTGAGATCGAAGAAATTTCAAGAATGATTTATGGAAAGATATGGAAAGTGAGGAAACTTGTCCTGCCTGAGGCTAATATGGACACTTCAAATGTTTGAACCTTTGATGCCTCTTGGCTCTCGGACCTCGGCTTTGCAAACAGTCCTCTTATTTTCTGTGAACCACTTTGCCTTCAACAGTGGAACCTCTGGACCCTGAGGGCTATCCCAGCAGCCACTTTGCACCCCAACACCCCAACTGCTGGGAACCCTGATGTGTCTTGCAACACTACCTGATTCAGTTGCACAGGTCAAAGGCCAAGGTTAAAGCCGAGTCTCCCAAATCCCAGCCAGGGGTCGTTAGGCACTGGGCAAGGACAGGGATATGGATCCTCGACATCCACTCTTAAGATCACACGTCAAAAAGACAGTCAAAAAGATTATACAACACTGTATTTGTCAACTCAAACTCAACACTTTGCGAGTTGTCAAGGCAAAATCCCAGGGGGCAGTCAGTTCTGGGTCATCTCATTCTAAGCGGGGCCAGCTGGCGATCCTGCGAATCAAATTGGCGCTGAGGGCTACACCGAAAGGCCCAGGTTCAGATCAACTCGGCAGTGACCTCAGCGTTGGCCATGAGAGCTTGCCGTTGGCAGAAAACCATGAAGCTTGGTGAAGTCAGAGAGTTGAAGGTGTAAAAATATTGTGCAGTTGGAGATTCATGACGCAGAATGGTAGTTACTGTATTCCATCAATCTCATTCCCAACTTAGGACTCAACTCTCAACAAGTGCTCCACCTGCCTGGACAGGTCAAGCATCCATCAAAAAAAGTATTCAGCAGCACAGAAAAAGATAGAAAAAGAGTCTTGTTTGTAGTCTCTTTCGGATCGTTCGAGGTTCCCGCCCTGTTAGCTGTCAGGACTTTCCGGGCATGTTTCCACCAGCACTGAAGAAGAACATAACAACACTTGAGATTGCAAAATGAGAGCGAAGGAAAAGAGCTGAATTGGCGCTACTAGCGCCTGTGATGCAGAGATGTTGCAGGACAAAGTCACCTCAACCCCCTCTCCAGTATTCACAAGATTTAAAATGTTGCGCAAGTATGCGCAAGTGGCCACATGTTCAGATGCAAGTGATACATAGTGACATAGTGATACAATACAACGTTTGTTGAAGCCCTTTCATATCTTTCATTGATGAATTTTCACTTCGATCGTCTTAGCCAGTTTGGCCTGTGACCGATGTGCACACTAAGGATCAATGAGGATCACTGAGGCCGATGCGTCAGAACTTGCTAGATCATAGCACAGGGTTGTGGCTGCGCCAACCGTGCGACAAATCTGCAAGAATGCAGCATGCAAGTCTTCGGATAGCAAAGACATGCAAAGACTGAACTTGCACGGGGACCATTGCTTGGCTAACCAGTCTCAGACCTGTGTTCACCTCGTCCAAATAATATCAAGAAGTGCCTTTTCACACGTGATGAATTCCTGTCCGTTCTTCATCTTGAACCCAACTGTTTCTCCCTGCATCAAATCTTTCAGGTGGCGATAGTTTCAATGTGTTTCAATCTGTTCATGTGCATGTTTCGCCTGTGAGCTTCCCAATGAAGTGAGCAACACTGTTGCTGGGGCAGGCATGTTGGCCATGGGCTCTGCTGGCTCCTCGAATGAAACTCAGCTTCACATGTCCACAATGTGTTGAAGTGAGTGGACTGCAAGTCTAACAGAGCTTGGGTTCACCTCTGGCAAGCAAAGGTAGAGCTGTGACATCCTTGGCGCAGGGGAGCTGACATGAGCTGATCTTCTGCATCTCCAGCCTGTCCAACCTGTCCAACCTGTTGCCACTGGCATCACTGGCATCACTGGGTCAGGGACAAGTCTGCCATCTCAGCACTGGCGTCACGAAGAGCGACCTTTGGGACCAACACAGCCAGGCCTGCCCGGTTTCTGCTCGGTTTCTGCTCAAATTGGTCAGACATGGCACATGACATTTGATACATGTTGATCATGTTGATACATTGTCATACCACTATGCCAGATGCAGATGCCCTCAACTCAGATGCACAGAGTCACAGTGGACATCCTGACATCCAAAAGGCCTGCAGCCAATGCCGTCAGAGATGCCATCACATCAGCAGGCAAGCGCCTCCAGGTACTGCGCAATTGAATTAGATGGGATGCACTTAGATCATTTAGCGGCATTTAGCGTACTGAATGCGTTGAATGTGAAAACGAACAAGGAAATCATGCGACGATCACTGCAAAGTCCCCACCTGCAGTCAGCTCCCACTTGTCGTAAGAGCTTAAAGACCCGAGCAAAAGCTCCTGCAACGTCAAGGATCGACGGTTTGAAAGATCCAAGGGTCCGGAGTGATCAGTGGTGCTGATAATGCTGACAAAGTTCGGATGCTAGAAAGAAACATGATTATCATCTATAATATGATACAATGATACAGTATAATCTATTTCATTTCCCAGGAGTTTTCAACAGCAACCCAGCCTTTTCTTGAGGTGATGCCCAACACCTGTGTCCAAGACTGTCCAAGCACTTCAAAATCTCGCCGTCGAACCTGTCGTTTCATTTGAGGCGTCGCAGCGCCGCAGCGTCGCACCTCCAAATGCGTTGAAAGCAGCAGCTGCAGTGCGACCAGGACTTTGCGTGTGATCAGCTCTTGGGACGCGACCTCCATGTGACGTCGACATGTGATGATTGTGGCGCAGCAATTCGCTGAATCTTCGAATGGGCAAAAAAAATGGCTGTTTTCCAAGACTGTACAGGGCTAAATATATCCAAACTGAGGCTTTATCAAACAACTGACTTCCATAACCTGTTGCTGTACTGCAATTCCTTGAAGTTTCGCCTTGTACGACAAACCACATTATGTCTATCCGGTGACACATTGAGAACTGTTTTTCCATCCAGATTTCGATTGTTCACGCGACCTAGTGGCCGAGCTGTTGGCGAGTTTGCCCTTACCCCGGACAATTGTATGTGCCAATGTAGGTCTCGGCTACATGCTTATGTGAATCAGCTAAAGATATGGTGTCTGAACAGTCTGATCTGCAAGGTGCCACAACGCTCGATCTCACCGACCTCGAAGATCTGGATCTCGCAGAGGGTGCCAAGCCATCCGCTGCTGCAATCACAACCTTTTCAGACTCACAGACTGACTGAAGAAACAAAAACATCCGAAAACCGCCTGGATCGTGTAATCATAGTAATCATAGTAATCAGTGTAATCCTGTAAATCATCCCCACCATTTCTGGATTTGTAGGGTTCCACAATAAGTACTGTTCTGCAAGTTCCTCAATTTGCAAAATAGTTCCAGCATGTTCCAGCTACTTTCAGGAAGGTAAAAACCGCTTCGTTCCTTCGTTCACCAAGGAGCTCCGAGGCGTAGTTTCCTCAATCCAGCAGTGGAGCAGTGGTCATGAAGAAAAGCTTCTTGAAAGCTAAGCCTTTCCTACTGTCCCCCCAACCTTTCTTGTTCCCTCTAGCTCTCAAGGGGCAAGGGACCATGGAAGACTCCCAAGAAACTTGTGTGTCATATCTTTTATTTTTGTTGGTGGCTCTTTGGTATGTGCCATTCTGCACCATCAAACTGAGCCAAGGCGCAAGTGAGGGGCATTGGCCTCGTGGACCACAGTCCTGAAACTGCCAAGTGCAGCTTGCCGAATCACAGTAGCTGTGTAGCTTGGAATTGAAACGAATCAAAGTCGTATCAGAGCAGGTGCGATGGGATCATGTGGGGGAGAAATTCTTTGCCCTCAGGTTTGGGCCAAATCAATCCAATGAGGGCCGCTTAGGATCTTTCGTGCAAACACTTATAGACGCTTCGCTCTCGTCCAGAAAACGAAGCAGCAAAATGTGAGGACTTCACTGACTTCACCTTGGGAAGTAAGCTTGTCAACTTGTGAATTTGCATATCAATTTGCATATCAATTTGCATATCAATGCATATCATAGATTCTATAGATATCTATAGATTGTGATATTTTGTGATTGTGTCATACAGCGGACCCAGGCATCAACTCCTCGGTGCAATTCGTCAGCGTTCCATTGAAGCTGCCGGACAATGCTGCGAATGCGACATCCTCACAAATTCGGCTTGGCTTATAGAATTGTGTGCTCTGTCTGCACACACATTATGGCGGATATCTCCAGGATATGCTGAGCTCTTCTGCTGCTTTGAGCTAAGTGGAGTCTTTTTCCGTTGGCATTCCTTTAGCGCCACTGTATCCCACTTTTCCAGCATCTTTTCTGATCGCATTCCCGCCTGCCATAATTGCAATTGCAGAGCTGGATCCATGGCCGAAACTTCTGACTCCAGAGTTTTGAGCGTCTCCGAAACTCTCCTGGAAGCGTGGCCCCAAAAGGATTGCGTTGGGATGAGGAAAACTGTGGATGGGTCATTGCATGTCATTGCATGTCATTGCATTTCCCTCCGCAACTTTTGAAACAAGGGATGCAACACAAGGAAGCGCCAAAAAAAGACCCGTCTCCCGGCAGAGTATGTTGCACGCGACATGCCACCCTGCTGAAACTCCTGCAAGATTCTACTGGGAAAATCAGCTGAGTGACGTCGGGTCAAAAATCTTATGTGATTCCTAGTCTTTCAGACTCTCTTCCAATACTGAGAGACCTGAGAGAAAACTGCTGAATCCAAAGTCGCTTCATGTCGCTTCTAATTTGGCGAAGTGACTGTCAGGACCCGCAGATCTTCAGCCTCGAGCTGGAGCGGTTCTACTGCTTCCGTTCCCTGGGAATCTCATTACGGGACATGCAACACGGAACTTATTTTGTCGTTCATATCGCAATCATGGGCTATGAGAACCAGGAGGACTGAATGAGCATTGCAAAAAAGTTAAACAGGGTCAGAGTAGGCATTGAAATCTCAAGAAAAGCCAACTCTCATGATACTGCTTGTGATGGTGACAAGAACGCAAACATATGCAAACATCATAATTGTCACCGTGGTTAGAAGAGAAATGAAGAGAGTCGATGGCATCTATGGACCTCGGATTAGAGGACGAACCAATCATTCCTGCCGGAGTCTCCTACAGTTTTTTTGGGGTCCAAGTGGCTCCAGCTTTGCTAAGAAGGTTAATTTTCCTCGGATGCTGCACACACGGCACGCACGGCGGCTTGGAGATCCAATGGGGATCAAAAGTATGTTGGGATCCAATTGTGGGCGAATCATGGTGAATCTTCATCGTTCATGGCACTACTGAAGGGATAAGTCAGGGATAAGCCATCGTTGCTTGCATTCCTTGATTGTGCTTCTTCTGCTGACTGTAGCTATCCAACATTGTGGTCATGTGAAAGAACCTCGAATTGTCTGAAGCTCTGTTTCCGCCAAGTTCTTTGATTGGCTTGTGACAATGATTTAAGGTTTTTTCAAGCAAGCAATGGTGCAAACTACTTCAACCGACAGGAGGAGTGCTAGCTGCGGTTTGCCAAGAAGCTCTGGTGCAGTAACTGAGAAAACTCCACGTCCGTCACGAACCTGCGGTGCAGTAGGGTAGGGTGCTAGCCAAACAATCCAAACACCAGTGTCGTCTAGTCCAAAAGCCTCGCTCCTGCTGTGTAGACTCAGCTTGTCTCATCTTGGTCCTTCCTTCGTCACTTGAGTTTTTGTTGTTCTTTTTTCAGCGATGCGATGTGAGTGTCTGCGCACCTGGCCCCTCACTTGTACCGTCTCAGCACGCGGTAGCAAAACTACCTAGGAGACGATCTCTTGTGTAGTACCATGTCCCTCTGCTCATTTGGCTAGCATTCATTTCGATTCATTTTGATTCATGTTGATCTCGTGAAACACAACTCTTGCAGCCAGGTGTCACTAAGCTTTGGATCATAGCTCCAGTCATTCAGCAGAACGCGTTGGCCTGGAGAAGTGTTGGAGATGGATTGAATCTCGGTGCAGTGATCTGCAGACAGCTTCGCCTGTCGAAAATTCAGCTTCCATCCTGTACCTGTGGAGTTGACCGCAATGCTGAGCCAAAAGGCACCAAGTTTTACAGCACAGCCCAGCACAGCTAAGACGGCAATTGAAAAATGTTCAAGTAGAACCACTCACTGTCGCAGTGGCAATAGCTTTCGAACCCAATGCCACTATCTATCTGAATCTATCTGCCCCTCATCAAAGCTCGTTTAAGTCTTCAGAGATTGTAGAGTAGAGGAGTAGAGTGTCCGCATAGTTCCTCTGCCACTGAGGAGGAGAAACTTGGGACTTAAACCTGATGGCCAGAGTCAGAGTGAATATGCTTCTGTCTGAGCACTTTCAAAGCCAGGGTGCTGCAAGGGTAGCACTTGCGACGACCATCTCATACTTTCTAGCACAAATGACTCGAAGGGCGCAGGGGCAACTACCTGCGACTGTAGGAGTTGAGCAAAGCTAAGTGAAAAAGAGAGGCGAAAAATGCACACATAGAAGTTCAATTGTGATTTTCAAATCTGTCTTTCTATGTAACAAGCTGTTGACACCTGGGTTCTGTCCAACAGCACATAGCCAGATGCAGGAGGAAGTCCCACGGTCAGTGTGGCCTCACAATCTTGGAGGACCGCAGTGTCGCAAATACATTTCCAATACAGTAGACATACGCGCAGGCACCCCGTGTCGCCCAACATCACCTTTAGGTTTCCAAGGTTTGGGGATTTAGAGTTTGGTTTTTAATTGGGGTTTATGTGTTTAGGTTTTAAGGTTTCTCTTGATATGTTTTAATTGTCTTTTGAGGTTTAGGCCTTATGGTTTAGAGATTAAGGCTTTAGGATTTTATGGTGTTAGGGTTCGGGATGACTTGTGCAACGACGCACAAGTCCCCTACCCTACCTAAGCTTTTCAGGAATGCCAAAATGACCAACTTTTTAGTGTTTTGAGAGTGCCTCGGGCAAGAGGAGGTGTTTGGCTGTAGACATACATGTTGTATTTCAGTATCTAATATCAGTATATATATATATAAATTATACATACAGGACACCAGTATATTCAAATCCCCAACGCAAGCCATGTTGATCTACTTTTGGATCTTCACTTGGCAAAATCTGAATCTCCCACCTATGCAAACCGGATGTGAACACTTGTACATCCAATGTTAAGTCCAATGCATCTCACTAAGTTGACTTGCGAAGCGAATAATCCAAGCAAAGACCTCCGTGTTTTGCTTCCACGCCCTTGCACCTGCTTCCTTTGTGTACGTCCTAAATGCTATCTATGCATACTTCAAGCAGTCCTTCCTCATAGTCCAAGTCCATATGATTGAAATATGTCGAATCTGTCTCTTTTCATCTCATAATGTCACAGTGTGTCTTCAATTTTTTGCCACACGCCTGTTGACTCATGGAACGTAAAGGGGCCTCAGACTGGCTCGGAAACAAATCATGAAACAATGTCGCGCCACCCTTGATATTTCGATGCATTAAAAGGAAGATCTTCGCATCATTTGCCCCCAATTTGTTGTTTGAGTTGTCGTGGGCCACAGCAAAGTAAGTATAGCAATGTCTCCTGGCCATGTTCCCCAAATCTAAGCAGTTGATGCTAGCAACAATGCAATCAACGCAGCTATCTGGTTTTGTGTTTCGAGGGATACTAGTGACTAGTGCCTGCAACCCTCGACATAAGGAATTCTCATCCAGTTCCCATGGCCAGAGACTGCTTGGGTCAAGCCACCATGCAGCTGGTACCTAGCCAGAGCTCCCGATTGAGTTTTGATGTGCCAACATGTGCCAACCGATTCTACAAACAGACTTGTATGCTGGAGGTCCTGCTACAAAACACTACAACTCTTGACTGTTCGAAGGTGGGACCCCATGGAAGACCGAGATAGAGTGCAGCACAAAACCAACCGTGCACGCGGCATGGATGCCCTTTTTGTCTATCCTCAGCAAAAGAAAACGTCGTATGGTCGTTGTAAAAAGCAAGTGCTTGAGGGTTCTGCAAACAGCTCTGAGGGACAGCTTGGGAAAAGGACAAACACTCCAAACAAACTGCCGGTTGGTTCTATTGAATAGCACCGAGCCTGGAATTGCTTTGTCACCATGAATCGTTTTGGAATTTCTTTCTTTCTTCACGAATCGTTTTGTCAAGACGTCCACATTAAATAGTTCCCTCCAATCAGAACTCAAAACTGCGGCAAGCGCAGCTGCTAGTTGGTGAAGTGTTTGATAATCCAAATGCAACACCGTTTTTGAAGGAAAATGGTTGTCATCAAGACCGGCAACGCACTGGCGAATCTCTGAACAGAACACGTTCCTATGATTTGTAATTTGTAAGTCTCTGATTGTCTCTATGAATCCGTAGGTTTGTAAAAGCATCTGGCAAGGTATGTGTACCAGAAGGAGTTGCTGAAACCATGTTCATGTTTTCTCTACAACACACAAACAATGTGTTCATCGCTTTAAAATTGTGCTGTGACGGACCAGTCTCAAAGGGAACAGATGCTAACATGACCACTTTTGGTGCATGTCTGCATGATCTGCATTGCCGTACATGCGATGCATATGCGATGCGGTGCAGTCCGCGGAAAGATTTGTGGAGCCATGAACAAGCAGCCCAGGAACAAACCTTGGAGGCGGCCGTGGCTGTGCTCCATCTTTTCGAAAGGGCCCGAATCTGTTTTACCCAGGTTGTGGACGACCTCGAGTTTCAATAATGCCAGTATATGACAGTGACATGACATGACATAGACATGAGTCAGAGTGAGGTGACACAAGCAATAGAGATTGCACGCACCCTTACCCACACTTACCCTACATGCCATTGAGGAAAGATTTAGAAATGTTGCTCTTTGCGCATTGGGCTGAATATCTGAGAAAATCATGACTAGACTTGCATCTTTCAGGCACATTCAATCGTATCATGTCATATCATATCATATCACCGAAGGAAGTTTAGAAGTCAAACTTCCGACAGTATGGACAGATGAAAAGCAGAGATGGGAAGAGTCAGAGAATAGAAGAGAAGAGAAGAGCAGAGCAGAGGAGAGGAGGGGAGAGGAATGGAGAAGAGAAGAAGAAAGAAGATCACAAGAGACAAAGTCTCAGAAGAAAGAAGATCCAGGTGCGCGAAAAGGTAGGAAAGTCGCGAAACACTGTGTTTTTGAAATGATTTGTGGCTCCGGAGTCCGGAGGATCGAAAAGTAGGCTCGCTAGAGCGGCGGGTGCAGAGCCAGCTGGCCAGATGAGAGATGAAAAATTGCACGCCGTTGTGGCACGAAGCACATTTCCAAGTCAAAATGCACAAAACACCTCAGCTTCGGCCCGTTTAGAAGCTGCGATGTCGAAAAAGTGCACGCCGTTGTGGCGCGAAGCACATTTCCAAGTCAAAATGCACAAAACACCTCATGTTCGGACCACTTTTGGAAGTTGAGATGTCGAAAAAGTGCACGCCGTTGTGGCGCAAAGCACATTTCCAAGTCAAAATGCACAAAACACCTCATGTTCGGACCACTTTTGGAAGTTGAGATGTCGAAAAAGTGCACGCCGTTGTGGCGCGGAGCACATTTCCAAGTCAAAATGTACAAAACACATCATGTTCGGCACACTTTTGGAAGTTGAGATGTCGAAAAAGTGCACGCCGTTGTGGCGCGAAGCACATTTCCAAGTCAAAATGCACAAAGCACCTCATGTTCGGACCACTTTTGGAAGTGGAGATGTCGAAAAAGTGCACGCCGTTGTGGCGCGAAGCACATTTCCAAGTCAAAATGTACAAAGCACATCATGTTCGGAACACTTTTGGAAGTTGAGATGTCGAAAAAGTGCACGCCGTTGTGGTGCGAAGCACATTTCCAAGTCAAAAGTGAAAAAAAAACTGACGGGTTCGGAGCACTTTGGACATTCAGATGTCATTTCGCGTGGCAAGCGCAAGGGATTGTGCATCGTGTCAAAAGTGAGCAAAACGTGAGGGTTTTGTAGCAGTTTCAAAAACGATGGCAGGCGTGAGACATTTGAAGAGGATCTGGCAAGATGCATGTCGCGTGCCAGGCGCAGTACAAGAGACATGTTCATCAGAGCTGTTAGGAGGTCCGGGCGCTGATTTCCCGAGAGGGGTTGCATTTTGGAGCATCAGATCTTCAGTTTTGGGAAGACGATTTTGCGTGACAGGCGCAGCACTTCGTATGACATGGCATCACTTTTTCGTGGCAGGCGCAGCACTTTAGACAGATGGGGTGGAAAAAACGCAAAACCCATTGATACGAGGCCGTCAGCTCAGCACTCAACTTTCCATGTTTGAAGGAAGTCTCGCAGAATTGTTTCGTTTTTGACGTTGTCAAATTCGAAAATTGAGGAAGCCTCGCAGAATTGTTTCGTTTTTGATGTTGTCAAGTTCAAAAATTAAGGAAGTCTCGCAGAATAGCTGCGTTTTTGATGTTGTCAAGTTCAAAAACTGAGGAAGTCTCGCAGAATCGCTTCGTTTTTGATGTTGTCAAGTTCAAAAACTGAGGAAGTCTCGCAGAATCGCTTCGTTTTCAAGCTTGCAGATAGACAGATAGATAGATAGATAGATAGAGAGATAGATAGATAGATAGATAGATAGACAACTACAACTGCAACTACAACTACAAGTACCACTACACTACACCACTACTACTACTACTACTACTCCTACTACTCCTACTACTCCTACTACTACTACTACTACTAATAATACTCCTACTACTACTACCACTACCACTACTACTACTACTACTACCACTACCACTACCACTACCACTACCACTACCACTACTACTACTACTACTACTACTACTACTACTACTACTACTACAACACTACGCTACATTACACAACACTAATTACACTACACTACACTAATTACATGTAATTGCACGACACTACACTAATTACATTTCAACTACTGCAGCTACTACAGCTACTACAACTACCACAACTACTACAACTACTACAACTACTACAACTACAACTACAACTACAACTAGGACTACTACTACTACTCTACTACTACTACTACTACTGCTACTACTGCTACTACTGCTACTACTGCTACTACTGCTACTACTGCTACTACTGCTACTACTGCTACTACTGCTACTACTCCTACTACTGCTACTACTGCTACTACTGCTACTACTGCTACTACTGCTACTACTGCTACTACTGCTACTACTGCTACTACTGCTACTGCTACTGCTACTACTACTACTACTACTCCTACTACTACTACTACTACTACTACTGCTACTGCTACTGCTACTGCTACTGCTACTGCTACTGCTACTGCTACTGCTACTACTACTACTACTACACTACGCTACATTACACAACACTAATTACACTACACTACACTAATTACATGTAATTGCACGACACTA